TTGTCTTCCCCATTCATTTTCCGGCCTCCAACTCCGCCCTCCTTGGCCCGACACCTCGGTTCCCCATTTTAGATATCGTTCGGGGCCTTTCGGTACCTCTCGGTATCATTCGGTACCTTTCAGTGTTTTCCCATTTTGTCATTTTGGACTTTGACTAAAGTCCTCCCCATCCCCCTTTATAAAATACATGTAGATTAGAACCTGTAGTTCCTCAGTTCTAATCTCGACTAAAATGCCACCCAAAGTCCCTCTGAGTGAATTCCGCTCCTGTTCTACAAGATACCTCAGACATAAGAAATACAAGGACCAACTGAGACGTAACGGAGGCACAGCGCTCCCTCCGAGTCGCTGAGGCCGCATCCTTCTTAGAGCCTCTTGTACCATCCAGCAGAACCGGGCTCCCTGAGAAGCTTCGGTTCACTACCGGAGCCCTCGGACCCCCCTCTAGTTGAGCCCCGCCTGCATTCGGACTCACGCATTTACCCCCTCTTCGTCCAACCCGGGTTTTTGACACATACTCGCAGCCTACCCTATTCATTCTCTATCATGTCGGGTTTGTACCCGATGCGACACTTCTATTCCCAAGCCCTTCATTCTACCATGCAGTCCCAAGCCACAAATATCACATGTACATACAATAATGTATTTAACCTACATGCAAGGGGGTAAAGGCTTCCCCAGCCTTTTACCCCCATTGATAAATATAGCTTCATACAGCATACTTTAATGGACTGGGAGTGTAAGGCAACAACTGACTATTGCGAGATCACTCGTGAACTCAACAACCTTAGCAACCAAACAACCATGAGTACCAGCGGTGCCAGGTGCAACCTCCGGCCCTCTGCAGGTGTCTCCATGGACAAGCCCCAAATCCTCGCACAGAATATACAGAACAGCCTGGAGAAACCATTACTCTACATAGACGGTGTACTCAGAGGGCTGGGTTGATTGGGGGGATCCCTGTGTTAGACACTGATCCGGAGTCGGCACCGAAGGTCGCCAATGCAGGCTGCTATTGACCGCAATGGCTGCGATGCCTCAAACAAGGCCCGAGGGTAGGGCATTTGGCCTCAGCAACTCTAAAGGGAGTGCTGTGCCCCCTAGCTGTCTCTTGGCCCTCATTTCAGACTCACTGGGGTTGCCTTGTTGGGGTCAGGACTTAGGGGTCGTGGTCACATCAATATTAGAGCTAAGGTACAATAAAGTAACATACAGGATATATATAGGGAGAAAGAATGAATGGAAGCGGACCCGGGCCGAAGGCCGAAGGGTCCGGAAGCAAAAGGAAACAAAGAGCGGGGTTGGCTGCACAGCAGCCGGCAATGACCGAGGGTCAAAACAAACAATAACAAATAAATAAAGGAAGGAGTGTAGGGCCGCAATAGCGGCGATGGTATCGTAGCAGCACTGGACTCGGAGTTGGGCTGGAGTCAGGCACGGGAATGGTAGCGGCCCTGTAGGGGCCAAGTGGGTGGGGTAGCAGAGTCGCGCTCGGTGCGGTGCCAGAGGCAGACTCAGGGCAGGGAGGTTGGTGTGGCTGTGGGGGAGTCGGCCAGGTGCAGGGGAGCCTAGGGGAAAGTGGGGGAGTGAGCAGGGAGTCTTCAGGGAGGATAGGGCTGAGGTTGGGGCTCGCGCTCACGCTTGCATAGCAGTAATGGGCTCGGGCGGCATCGGGACGGGCAGCTAACGGGCCGGAATGCATGGCCATGACACCCTGTCATTAACCATGGTGCACTAGTGATGTGCTAAGCACCTCCAGTGGTTTCAGTTAAATACAAAGAGAGGTCCTTTTTAATGATATCTGTAATGAGATTGGAGGCAAATGTAGTGCGTTCTGTTAGGTGCAGGGCTGGGAATGATGCCAATGATGGATTTCAAGCTTACTGAATATGCCACCTATGGCAATAAATAGGATGTAGAGCTGCACCCAAGGAATAGAGGACAGGTCTGTAGTGTAATGTATGGTTATCCTGGTGTTTGTCAGAGACCAGATTCGAGATGAGGGAGTGTCTCTGTAGCGGAGGGCTTTGGCCTCAGCGACTTCTGCCAAGAGCGCTGTGCCTAGTGACACGTCCGTGCCCTAACTTACTGACTGGCAATCAGAACCGAAGGGGGGGTAACTCTAGTTGATTTTACTACTGGGGTGTAACCTATGTACAAGTGGGATATATATATGGTTACAGCGAAGACGGGTCCGCAATTGGCAGAGCCGAACAGAGTGGAGCTAATGGGGTTTAAACCTTAGCCGACTGAATATTACCGACGAGTCAGGTCGCGGGGTTAGCGGAAAGGCAGGCGATAACCCAGAAATGGAAAGGAGGGATAGGCCCAAAGGTGGGCTCTGCAGGGCAGGCGAGTGTATTGCCCAGCGGAGGCGCGGGTGCGCTAGCGGACGTCAGAGCTGTCCGGAAGTCTTCGGGGCTCCGTACTTAGGGAGGCGTAGGTAATAAATTGAAATGAGGGGGTGGTGACCATCGAGGGGTACCGAGAGGGTTGCGGAATACGGGAGCTCCGAGGTTAGTGAGGGAGGAGCGGAGTTAGACCGGAGGGATCGGAGGAACCGGAAGTCGATGGCCGGGGATGGATATGACAGTGTTGAGGATGTCGATCAATGCACCTTACCTACAACAATGTTCACAGTTTGTGAATGAAATGGCTGGCCTGGCTTTGGCCAAGAGCCCATTTTGGGGACATGCATACCCCACAATTGAATTGGTTCTCACAGGGATGAAGGTGGTCAAATGGGTCAATATTTAGTGGAACATTTGATCAGATTGAATGAAAAATTCCCGCTACTCTGTAGCAGGTCTTGCGTGCACAAACTGAATACCTGAGCACCGTTATTGGTTATTCCTCAGCTTTCTGACACTCCAGATTACCTCAACTTGCTTACCAAGCTAACCCAAGTTGTCCCTCACTGCTGCGGATCCTAACTCACCACTTGGCCCTACACCCAAACCTCCACCCTCCCACTCTTTCCTGCCCAAATCCTCCAACCCTCCCGCTGCACTTCCTTCCTGCCCAAACTCTTGCTCCACACTATGGCGTCCTCTCCACACCGAGCCTTTTTAAGTGGCCCCTGGCCATTTAAACTCCTTACCACTTAAGCTGATTGCAATTATCATCTAACCAAAGAAGCGATCGCTCACGGCCTATATGATTTTTCATTGTCAATCAACGATCAATGGAATTTGCTCCTACCCCATGCCCTGACCAGTGATTGTTACTCAAGGTGCATGTGTTGCACACCACTCTCAATATCCCTCTTGTGATTTGTTTTTCCATCTTCTTTTTGACTACCTTCCTGTCCTCTCAGGTTCCTGCCTACTCTCAGGTTTCGCACGCACTTTTACACACCGTCTGCATTGCTCTCCTTGCTGCCGACAAACCAATCACCTCCCTCTCTCAAACACTGTCGTGACATTTTGCTTGTATTTACTCACCGAAACCAAATAATATCACATAAACTCCTTCGCCAGTCTTGGAGTGTTATACTGTTGTGGCGTTCAATTCAGGTTCATAATGTCAGTGGGGTTCTATATGCAGACTGGGGGTGCGGTCCTGATTTAAAACTTAACGATATTTTACATTTGTAGTACCACCTAGTACCATGGCATGCAAAGACAGCTCCAGAGTGACTTCTAAGTGGGCTGCGATGCTGCATCGATGTGGGAGTAGCGGGTATTGCCGCTTCAGGCAGCGTCCATCAGTTATGAAACAAGAATGGCTGTTGGAGGTGTCATGCAGAATTAGTCACACCAACTTGTGTGTTGGAGGAACCGTGTGCTATGGGAGGCCGGACGAGTTTTCGTACAGCCACATTCCCACATCCAAGTGAGGAACTCGCCCGGACAGCCACATTCCCGCGGTAGCGTGACTACTTAGTCACAACACCTCTTTTATATTATTTCGGACTAACCCGTGCCAGGCCATGGATATATTCATTCATTTGAATTCATTTCCTTTTCCCTCAGTTCTTCACGCATATTAGCTGAGACTGAGGTTACCTTGCTTGCAAGGTCACTTCCAAACCCACAATTGCGTGGGAAAAATGTGTTTATATTACTTTTACTTCTCATGTGATTCCCAATAGCATGTGACTATCCAACGAATTGTATTAACCAGTGCCCGATACCTTGCTGCTTCCCAAGTAGTATTTGCCAGCATATTCGAAGCATATGTACTTGAGTCTGCCTGCTTCAAGGCTTCACACACAGGTCATGCACCTTGCAAATGAGAACTTCGTGACTGCAAGTTCTCCATCTTTGTCGGGCGCCATAGAGCACTTGAGCGACTTCCAACCTGATAAGAGGGCAGGATGGTGGGCAACAAAGCGAAACCCTCGGCCCCCACCGCTTCTCCTCGAGTTCCATTTGCGATGTTCAGATCGGTGTTTAGGTTTGATGTCACCAGCATGTCACTTGATAGGCACTGAGAAGAGGAACTCTGCATGTGTGGAGGAGATCATAGTGCTTAGAGACCCAGCTCCCCTTGTTAATGACCGTGAAGAGGGTGGCTCGCCTTCCAAACGACACTTCTCCAGACCACTTTCTCTCTGGTTAAGTGCCGAAGGCAGGAGTAAGAGACGGTGTCCCCCCTCTGTCAACCCCTTTTATCGTTTCAGACCATCCTCGATTCAACTCACAGTGCTCATTATGTCCGATAACTACAAAGAAAATGTCAACTGAGTGAGTGTTTTACGGATGGAGAGTCAAGGAATTAAATGACTGAGGCCAACTCCGATAACTGGCCTCATGGTTAGGCAGGATCCCAGCCTCTACTACCTCATGGTCAGCAATGATGTGCAAGCAAGGTCATGGTTGCGAAGCAACCTTTCTAGTTAGTTACAACAGTCCTTTATTACTGTTTCATTTACTATTGTAACTTACACTATGTACATTACCTCTAGCTTCACGCTTATAGGTAATACAATTAGTTCTTCACGCATATTAGCTGAGACTGAGTATTTACTCATAGTCCGGCTCCGAGATCACAAGTGTCGCTCATCAACATCGTGAAGATGAATTGTATTATACACATGATGTTACAGAAGAGTCAACCACATAAGCACAAGTGGCACAAACTATGTAGGTGGAGAGTGACACTGCTGTGCAGGTAACCATCTGCACTATAATAGGAGGAACATAGATGCAACACAACGAGAGCCCCGATTGTGACCATCAATTGTCAAGGGTCAGGTCAACATTTTGATTCATCCTGTCAATTGTGTAACTAGTACTAGTCGCCAGATGGCTTAGAAAACACTGCCAACACATCTTCGTCCCACTTATGTCCGGCCAGAGCCCGCGCTACATTTTGATGGTGTATATGGATCCCAGACATCAAGTTGAGGAATTTTACGAAAAGAAAATGCGGTCGTGCACGAGCCAACGTCAGGTCGCCCAAGGCAGCAGAATGACAAGAAGAGCAATATATCTTCCAGCTCTTTGACTTCTCGTCGAAGTGCGGGGTCAGTAATTCGACCATTACTTCTTCCGTTAAAACAGCCACACCAAACACAAAGGCTTCTGGGAGGGGCCGATACACTAAGTTTCCATTAGCATCAATGTGACAACTTGCAATTGCCATCAGGGTCAATATTGGTAGGTTTGCTGCTACCAATTCCTGTCGAGCAATGATATCTGCCTGCTGATACCGTTTCTGTTGGCAAATTTCTGGTCTGCGTGACGCAATGTCAACTGCAACGCCCACAGGGATCTGGGCGTCCCCAATACAAAGTGAGGAGCTGAAGTGGGAGATGGAGTCGATGAAAGTGAATCCAAGAGCTGAAGAAGTGCCGCTACAAGAAGGTTCAGGACGCGATTCCACAGATGAGGATGATATTTTTGGGCGCACCCGAAACCCGTGAAATCCTCACGCCGATGCCAGCCACGAAAAATTAGTTTTAATAGCGCATTGCAATTCGAATCAAACGTCCACATTGTCCCTATGTTGCCTGCGTGAGGTGAAGGCCATCCAAGACCGTTTGGATTGTTGAGTCCTTCGCCACCATCGCCCTCAATTGTCTCGCGCTTTTCAGCTGCATAGTAGGATGTTGCAAATGCAAGTTTCAGGTTGAGAGCCAAAAGACTTGCATAAGAGGCAGCACGCGGGAGGTCCCTGAGTTTCCCTTGCTCGAATCCCCTCCTTATTGTCTACAAGATGTTGAGGGTCTGTTCGAGTGTTTCTGAACTGTACATACATTAAGTTCCGTGGGGAGATTATCATACACCACGCCCTCGCAGATACGGCATACTATACGGCCCCGGTGCGTATAAGGTTTGGAAAACGAATTCCAGAAGAAAAGTCTGTTGAACCGGACGTATTCTACCACTGGGCGTTCACTGTAAAGGTATCAGAATTGTCGTCCGGGTAGGTGGGTTTGGTACACACAGCCAGTCAGTCATGTTTCGCGCCCGCAATACGGAATCAAATATTGGACTTGTTCCTCTCTGGATGTGTGCGGTATCTGCGCCTGCCGTACCTGACTCCGCACGCGGGACGTCTTCCATAACTATGTCGGAAAACCGCGGTATCCATTAAAAACACAAAATTTGACGTTTAACCCCCATAATTTAGCGTTTAAACGCTTGATAAATTGTTTTTGGCGTTTTCAACGCCCTTAACTGTGTTTAAACACCCCGAAACGCTCTGAATACGTTTTTAACAATTTTAATAATTGCATCATAAATCCTTCCCACTGCGTCGAAATTGTCAAAAACCCGACTCATCTAACTTACAATGATCATGACATCTGGCCAACACCTTCTCATTGGCTGGTGGGCGGCTGTTTCGAAAAAAAACGCCGAAAACAATTTACCAGCGTTTACTTAAACGTTGTACGCAATTTTCCGACAATATATATACATAATAGGATCCCACACACGCCTCACTCGCTCTCATGAGCCCACCTCAAAGATGCGGCGGGCCTTTCCCAGTAGAGTGGCATGAGAACCCCCTTCGTTGGTTTACTGAATCGTTCAATTTTCGGCTCAATCCGTTAGTTCCTAGTCCTGCTCGCTTGGAGTACAATCCACACTCACCACTCGTAGTAACTTGGTTTGCACTGGCTCTTTGGAGGGTGCAGGTCTTCACGCTGCCTCACTCTCCGGGTGCATAGAGTATCTCAGAAATCTTCGCAATCAATGGAATGGCGGAAAGTTGGAACTGCCCTCTGACTGGATGGTAAATAAATGCTGAAAGTTGATTTATTTTTGTGCCCCTGACAGCGTGTTAGTTTTCTGAGGCCCAGCTGGAAGAGCCAATAGTATCCTTTCTCAGGGATGAACACCCATTCATGTCTCAATTAATGATTGGTGCCACATTGGCGCCAATCCAGCATATGCTATCCACGCTCACCACTGAAGAAGTCGATTCCCGGAACGACTCGCCTATGGATTTGCGACCTGACTTTCTGCTATCTACCTCCCGCGTGTTTCTTGAATCTCATTGGACTATTGAAGGGCGAGATAACCGAATTTTTGGTTCCCTACAACACGACACGAGATACACTTCAAGTCAGCTTCATTCACTTCTCATACACAACGAAGAGTGTGCATCTGCTGACGACATGCTTATGTATTCACTCTCTGGCTCACCGGGTTGTTGGGTACTAAGGTCACACATTTTTAACATTTTATTACTTTCTCCACACTAATCCTGGCGTCCGGACAGAAAGCCTCGATTGTGTTTCCCGGAAGAATATCAGCCTTCTCAATCTACAGATCGCATCCGTTTCTGCGTTGTCAGGCATCCAATCACTCCCCTGATGGCCGAGTCAAAGCGGGTTGATCAACACCTTCCTGTGTCCTTTTCCAACCCTGCTTTAATTATAGGCGCCTACGATCCCGGGGACGAATTAGTGTCTTCTGAGACTCTTGGGGACATCTCCCATGTTGTTCGCGGCAGTCTAGCGAGCTTATTGTTAGCCTCATTCCATCGGCAACGAATCGCGCCTTACAGCAGTGGATTCTGGACGAAAGGATCATCAGATCGCTCATTGTCTGAGCTTTTGATGGTATTTGGCCTTGTCTGGCGACCGAGTTGTCTTAAACTCCTGGCATTCATTCCATTCTGGGACGAAGCTTCCGGGGAGTATCTCATAGCATCCTCAGAAGTGGACACCTTCCACTTTGGGCAGTACCCGCCAGAGAAGGATCAAACTGAAGAACTCATGACTGGCCCGAACTCTCCTTATCTTGAACGCATCCGGCTGTTTCTTGCTCTGAAATCCATATCAAAACATGCATTCCGACTTTGTGACATCTTTGATGCCTCGATGCCATGGCCACCGTTTGATGTTTGTGAAATGGAACAGAAGTGGCACCTTCTTTATCTTCCAGAGGATGGACGCACAGAGGCGCTGGACGATACCTCCCACTTCGATATTGAAGAAGCAGAGACCTATGCTCAGGAGGAGGAAGCCGAAGAACCGGATGAGGATGGCATCTATGGTCACAGCGACGGTTCTGATTCGGACGAAACTTCCGTCTCTACGACAACTGACCCCAGTCTTGCTCGCCAGCCCGTTGACACTACCCGCATTGAAGCCTGGTTGGACACAATGTCGACCGAAGATTGATAGCTCCTGGAAGGGCTTCAATGACTTTGGCGGTTAACTTGTATCTTTGGTCTCTGTCATACTGTCCTTGCCCTTTGTCCAAACATCTTATCTTCACTATGTTCAAATCTGAGCATCGTGAGGTGTTTGTAATCACATGAGCCGGCCAGATCAAAGAGAAATAGATTGAGTCTCTGGATAACATCAACCCTATTGTAAGCTAGTATGGGTTCTTGCCTCGTGGCCCACCGAGCTCGATGCCCCGGGCCGCAAAGTGAACAAGAAAAACCTTGGTTTCGGCAAGAACGACCATTCTGCCTGGTCCTGCAAAAACCATGTTGGCAGTGGTTGTGTTGAAGAAAAGTTTTCCAAGCAATGTACCCTTATTGTCCCACACCTAGTTGTTTGTCGTCAGCACAAGCGAAGCAGAAGAATGGGGAACTACACACATGAACGCCGTCCCCACACCCTGAAAAGACATTGCCAAAAATATCAACCTGAATGCCGTCTGGTATGCCGGCGTCCGAGTAAGCGAATACCCGCCTGTTCCCAAACGTGCCCTTCAAGGGATCGACGTCGTAGGCATAGCTGTCAAATCCCTACAGTTAGTTAGGTTTCAAGCGGATAGAGAATTGGCCAACATCGTGCTCGGCAGCGTCTGATTAAACCCAAGGAAGCCTATTGCTGCTCCCGTGTCCGATCTAAGAGTTAAAACAAACAGGAAGTTGTCAGTGAGTCAGCGAGAAAGGATCGAGGGGGCAAAGGGGCGAAATGACGGACACATAAGCAATCTTGCCGTCCGCGTCGAATGCGATACCGTTGCACTTCTCAAACTGGTCTGCGATGACGCGTACGGTGCTAGTTTGTGGGTCGAATGCGTAAAGTTGATTCGGGAGCAAGGGCAGTGGACGGAAGCGGTTCATATATCCGTAGCTATGCTCTGGATCAACATCCGGAACCCCTCAATACAAGAGGAAAACATGAAAAACGTACTCGGGATCCGTGAAGTAGATCTGTCCATTCTTGGGGTGTACTTTGAGGTCGTTCAGCGAATTGAACTGCCGACCATAGAAGTTGTCCAAAATGACCGTGCTGTTATACGGCGCTTTCGGGTTCACGAGCGCAATCGAAGGGGGGCGAGGCCCGCGTCCGGAGTTGACGAGAATGAAGGAGGATCGATAGGGACCTGTCCCTCCATTCGTCATCTGGATCTCCTCCGCCAAATCGAGCTGTAAATGGTCAAGAAAGAGAAGAACCACCGTTTCCAACTCGCCGTTTCCACCACTCACCGCAGTAATAGGCACGTTCACTCCCTCACTAGCATTCGTAGCAGATGCAAGGGCAGCCTCCGCCTCACGCAAACTTATTTTAAAGACGACGTTATTTTTGTCCAGGCCGCTCATGCCCAGCGCGCCGCCGGCGTTACTCGCGAAAAAGACTTCGTCTGTTTCTGGTACATAAACGGGCGCTTCGTGAGCGAAAGCGTACGTTGCATTTGCCGCAATCTGGGCGATCCGCGCGTCCGGACCAAGCAAGTTCAAAAATGCCGTGTCGAACACTTGGAAAAACGGAGGAGTAGTGGAAGTAGGGTTGAAGCCCCCCGAGAAAGCATCGATGCGGAACGCCGTGCTGTTGACACCAAAAACGGCAAATGATTTGGGGTCGACATATATTACCTTTCCACGCGTGTACGCGATACAAGCCAAGGTTGCCACCAGAATCGACGTGAATCCCATGTAACCGTCAGGGAGGATACAGACCAACCTTGACTTGGAGAACTCAGATTTTATGGTCACTGAACGAAGTGTCAGAAAAATCCACCATTGAATGTATTGGCTCGGCACAACAGAGTCATTCCCGTGGCAATATTGTCGACCCTGGCCGGAATTCAGTCATCCTCCTCCTACATTATTCCATTTCATACGTAGGTTCTACCCCGTAAACTCACCGCACACTACTTTATCGTTCCATCAGCACTTTTTCAAGAAGCATAAGATAGCCCGACCACACATAAACATTTGGCCTCATAACTAGCCAATTACAGGGCCAAGGGTAAATGAGGTAACCTCGGCCCCAACCACCCGTAATCTGAACGGCGGTCCCAGGGCCTTCTGGCAAGTGCTCACCGCTGGGACGCCTCCTGCACCGTGTGATAAACCTTTGGCCAAGGAACTCCTAATCAACAATATCTAAGGCAACAAGCACTCCGGAAATGGTACTCTCCCTACGGGGATCTCAGCAGCGTGTCCACTGGCACACGCACCACATTCCGCATGAAATTAGGCCATCGACGCGAAGAGTTATGATACACGATTTAGAATCGTCCGGGGAAACGCTTCATGCAGCGTTCATTTGCGGCTGGGTCAATGGCATTCGACTTGCGGACAGGCACAGAAGGTTATGCAGGACTCCAGCCTCTATGACTTCGCAACATTACTTAAATAACAGAAGGTCTCGTGTTGCCCGACCAGTACCTTGACAGAGGATCGAGACAACCCTGGATTGGGTGCCAAAGGCAATTTTGTTGTATGTAATTCAATTCGCGGGGTGCGACTTTGCGCACGATGACGGGCCCTGAGGGTTCTCGCACTTCTGATACTGCTTTATTTCCAGGTCAGGCTTGAACATAGAATAAATCCCTATCGCTTTAGGCTCTATGCACGCATCCACACACTTCCTGACATCGCTGGGCCATAATGATATAACTCATGGCTGTGTTCTTACTCGAAGAGTCAAGGCTGCCTTTCCTGTGCAGTACAGTGCTCGTAAACTCTCATGTATGCATGTGTGGTGCAGGTGACAAGTAGTGTATTTATACCGATGCTAGATTGGGTGTCAAAGGATCTGGTAGTTCAGAACCCAATCGGGAACGTAATCGTGCCTGTCATCCCGCCAAAATCCGGGCGTTTCGCGATTCACGGATCTGGCAACTTGAGCGAGAACGTAGCTATGCAAAACAGATATCTTACTGGGACTATTGAAATGCCTACAACTCAACAAAAACATTCAAGGATGACTTAGTCAGGGGTCCAATAATTCGGGCTGGAGAATGAATATCTCGCGGCAGGGTCCACACCAATAGCTGCAGTGGCTCAGAATCCATTTCAGGGGAAAAGTACCATAGATTGCTTACTGATGTAAGTGAGGATACCTTCCTCAATTTTGGCCCCAAGCTGATAAGTTTCGGCCAACGCATTATAACCACCCGAGTTCTGATCCGGAAAGAGTATATCCTCAGAATTATGTAGGCGTCGCCGTGTAGTATTCAAGTATGCCTTCGTGACAACAACCTTATCAGTAACGGCGTCGTCGAAATAAATCTGGCCAATATGCAACAAATTCCCTGCAGTCGATTCAATAGTACCATTCCTTGCCTTCGTCCAATTTGTTTGAACGGCGGCCTAAGAGATCGTTTGACAGTCAATCAAAGAGGGGTGACCTGTGTGGCTCACGTGGATGTGGACGGTTCGAGAGTTATAAAAGCCGGGGTAGATACTTTGAAACTCGACGACGCCCTCTTTGTCTGTCGGCCATCCGCCGCGAAGGAAGTTAAGCTCGTCTGTCATTGGCTGATCACGTTGGGGTATTATCAATCACATCCACATCCAAGTACGAGATAAAATGGAAAACTGGTTTCCTTACCGGAGTAGGAAATGTGTCATCGGTAGGAATCGGGGGAGGTGTAGTGTCATTGCCTTCAAAAGGAAGAGTGTAGCCAGTATATCCAGAATAGAATCCTAGGGCCCCATTGAACCACTAAGTCACGGTATCTTGCAGGTAGAGACAACTCACCTGTAGAGTTGGAATGCCAAATTTCCACGAATGCGCGGGATAGAGGCTTGCAAGTAGAAATATCCAATACGCCAATGTTTAGGGTCAGAGGAACACCAGGCTGGCCTTGCCGAATATCTCGGCGAACGAGTTCCTGATACGCCATAAATATAGACGTTGGACAATCACGGTAGTAAAGGCGAAACCCACATTCCTCACATAGTATGGGCCTTCCGTGGTCTCAGGTGTGAGCACGCATGTATTCTGCAAGCAGGTCTCAGTTTCTGATGATATGCTATTGCCGTGGAAAGCTTCTTGGTACCCACGTTGTGAATGCCCCCGGATTTATCATGAGGTTCATCGATGGCCTTATCGGGAAGTTCATCCAGGCCCAAAAACTCCTCAGCGACATTACGAGCCTGTCGACGTTTGTGGTGAAATGCACGGATAGCAGGGGCGCAGTTACGGGTGGCCCGATGGCGCGCCTCGGCCTCTAACTGGAGCAAAAGGTAAGTGGAACTGCTACGTTTCGCCAGCGAGGGAGCTATACCTGGCGGCGATGTACCCCTTCCTTGGCTCCTGCCCTCTCAACATGAGAAAAAGCTGCGGAACCGAAAAGTGCGACGAGAGAGAGCGAAGCGGCCCTCATACTAGGGGACGGTGGCTCTTCGCCGGGGGACAGTCAATTCTCTTGCAACGGCAACGCTTAGACTATGTCTGCGGATACCTCCGAGCGAGCAATAGGGGGTTTCACGGTACTCTAAACAGGTCTAAACTGAGGTCTAAACTGAAATCCTAGACTGAGATCAAAACTGAAAAGTCTTGGCAAAATTGACCAGTTTAGCCAGTTTAGCTCTTGGGGCTCACACGCCCCAACTGGTCTAAACTCAACTCTAAACAGCTTTCTAAACTCGGACTTATCATTCTCTAAACTCCATGTCCCTCTAGTACTGTACAGTTATCCCACGGATCCAAGGATTTGTCCTCTTTCAGTCACAGCGGGCACGTTGGGTAGGCATAACCCCTCTCCCTTGGATGTTGTCCTTTGTGCAGCGCCTGTGCTAGTGTTCAACCAGTGAGTCTCATTCCAGTGCCGAAGGACGCTATAATTTACATGCATGCTTTAGACTTGCCATACCGCTGCACCAGTTCATGATACAACCCACACCCCACTTCCATGAGTGCCCCAATCTGGGTCTGATAGTCCCCTATACCTCCGACACCCCCGTTATATATCCCTTACCTATACAAGCTCATCCCCAAAATTTTCAATGCACATCCGTTTTCATTTGTGAATTTACTAGCAAATCCATATGTACTTCTACAAGCGCATCATCCCACATGTAATGGTACCCGCTATCAATCGCTGTCCTACTCCATGGGCAAGAGTGCAAGTTGGAATCATAGGGACAGTCGGTGCTAGTGATGGAACTTGAGATAGGACTGGCATTATAACCGTTACATTCAAACTAGAATCATCCATTTCAGAGCGTATACACCCAGTCCATCATGAAGCATAGCACACACTATCAGCCCTGGTGGTGAGTCAGGAGGAAAGTGTGGACAGACAAGTGCCCAACGTCGACTTCAACTACCAGTTGCATGGTTACATAAGCCAAGCACCTGATACCTCAGACGGATTTAACGAACCCAGGGACACTCCAGTTTAGACTCCAGTTTAGAGTGCTTACTGTGAACGCCCTCAAATCGTGTCTTAACAGCGGCTTAAGCCCGCTCCAAAACTCGCTCCAGTATTGTGCAGTTTAGACTCGATTTAGACTCTCAGTTTAGCCCAATCTAGCTTACCGTGAAACCCCCTAATGTTGTCGTAGAATTCAATACGCGTTGAAGCACCAGCTCAGCAGGCAACGGCTCGCTATCAACTAAGATGTCGGCACAGACACATGTAAATAAATGTTTTGAGGTTGATTTCCGACAATATGTTGATTCGAAAGTGTACTGGCTTTGGTACAGAAAACTCACACGGGACCACGGAAACCCTCAAATTGCTGCTAAGGCACTCGGCTTGGGCAGTGGGGCCATGCAGAGAAGCTCCCGATCGCTAGAACTATGCAGTGAAATTAAGGGTCAATCAATGGAGCAACACCAAGTCATGTCCACTGGAAAGCCAGGACTGGGTAATAACCCTCGATTGTGGCATTGTGCATGTGCCAAACAATTCTGCTCTGATGCACTTCCCATACATTCGATTCATAGACGGCTCTGCGCAACAATGTCCAAATTTGCAAAGGAATGAGCCGGCCGATTCGTCTCTTCAAGATTCCCCCTTGTATCAATTCAAAGTCAGACGCGAACATAGGCGGGATAACAATATAAACACCAGCCTCCCTTAACACCCCAACCCAGCGCAGGTAATCATGATCGACGACCAACCCCATACGAAGGACATCCGGGTTCACCACCAACGAATGGGGATAACTGGTAACGAGAAATTGACAAGTCCCAGCACACACACCCCATAGAATCCAAACACAAAACGGAAGCAAGAATCGGCGCCTTAACTGAAGCCACAACCCACAAACAACCTAACATTCCGGAGACCGGCCGCGCTGTCAAAACAAACTATGGCGTCGGCACGCTCAGCTTCCCACTATGCCCCATCCGAGACGTCCTACCACAACGGGGAGCGGCCCCCACTTAGAAGGGGGTAGAAGCCCCGAATAGAAGCTCCACCTTGAGTGCAGGAACACCGATCATGAGGCTCGAATGCCCCTATGGCCAAAGACGGTCTGGCCCGAACCGAAATAATTGACCTAGAGGGGAAAAGGCATCCCCTGGCCGAGAGACGCTTTCTGTATGATGGCCCCATGATCCAAATGGAGGATGGCAAGATGACAACGGCGCCATCAAGAATTTAAAAAAACCTGGAAGTTAGATGCAGAAGAGTGTCATGAATGAGATCCCAGACGGAGAAAATAATGATTTTCCTCTTGAAGTTTTCCAAGATGTCCCCCCGACTGACAAAAAGGAATTCCTCACCAGAAGGAACTCATCCTGTGAACAAGGAGCGGCGTCCTTGAACATTGAGTTAGCCCGCCTAAAGATGCCAATGTTGGCACCGGGCGAGGCCCCCCAACATCACGGGAGCCCCACAGGAAAAATTAGACTAGTCGCGTGCCGTCGGCCTCAGGCTCCAGCACCTACCCTGATTTGTCTTGCTCTTTATTTATTCGCATCTGCTGCGCGGTTCGACTCCTGTGCCTATTGTTGTCACGCTGGTTCATATGGCCTTTCCTGTGCAATGAAGTGCTTGTAACTTCCTATGTATCATTGTGTGTACAGTATGTGTGTGCAGGTGTCCAAGCGGTGTAATCATGTCTATCATCTGCCTGAAATCCGCATCGCTTATCAAAACCCAAGACGTTTGGCGGTTCACAGATCTACCAACCGGGTCGAGAACGTATTGTGCAATTTAAAGACATGTACCTTCCGTACAATTCAAACAGAGAGAAATTCGAGAACAACCTAGTTGGGCACCCAATAATTCGAGCTGGAGAATGAATATCTCGCGGCAGGGTCCACACCAATAGCTGGAGAGACTCAGAATCCGTTCAGGGGGAAAGTAGCGCAGGCCACTTACTGATGTAAGCGAGTATACCTTCCTCAACTTTAGGCCCAAGTTGATAAGTTTCGGCAAAGGCATTGTAACCACCCGAGTTCTGCAATGGTAAAAAAATATCCTGGGAATTATATGTGCGTTGCTGTGTAGTGTTCAAGTATGCCTTCGTGGAAACAACCTTATCATTGAGGGCGTCGTCGAAATAAACCTGGCCGGCGTGCAACAAATTTCCTGCAGTCGATTCGATAGTACCATTCTTTGCCTCCTTCCAATTTGTTTGAACAGCAGTCTAAGAGATCGTCGAGCATCCAATCAGAGAATGTGGGATCGGATGTGCTCATACAGCTCACGTGGATGTGGATGGCTCGATGGTTATAGTAGCCTGGGTAGATAGTTCGAAATTCAACGACGCCTGCTTTATCTGTCGGCCATCCGCCGCGAAGGAAGTTAAGTTCATCCGACAGTGGCTGGTTACATCGGGGTGTTATCAGTCGTATCCACCGAGTGTAAGATGATGCAAGGAACCGGTTTCCTTACCGGAGAAGGGAACGTGGAATTGGGAGGAGGCGGCGGCGAGGTGTCATTGGCCGGTAGAGGGAGAGTGTAGCCAGTATAGCCAGAATAGAATCCTGGGGCGCCATTAATATTATGCCATGGTGCTCGGGAGGCAGAGACAACTTACCTGTAGCGTTAGTATGCCAAAGTTCCACGAATGCACGAGGCAGAGGTTTGCAAGTAGTAATATCCATGACGCCAACATCTAGGATCAAAGGAACACCGGATTGACCTTGCTGAATATCCCGACGGACGAGTTCCTGATAAATCATGAGCATATACGCTGGGAAATCACGGTGAGGAAACCCACATTCTTCACATAGTACGGGCCCTGCGTGGTCTCAGGCGTGAGTACACATGTAGTCTATGACAGCACTCAGTTTCAGTCATGTATCTGTGCTATCAAAAGTCTCTCGGTGCCTACGTTATGAATGCCCTTGGATTTGTGACGAAGTTCGTTAATGGCCCTCTCAGAACGCAAAAATTCCCCGGAGACGCTGCGAGCTTGTCGGCGTCGGACGTAGAATGCACGGATAGCAGGGGCGCAGTTACGGGCGGCCCGGTGGCGCGCCTTAGCTTCTAACTGGGGAAAAACGGGGGTGGAATTATTTGCATATCGCAAGCGAGGAAACTGTACCTGGCGGCGATGCATCTCTTCCTTGGTTCCTGCCCTCTCAACATGGGAAAGGGCTGCGGAACCGAAAAGTGCGACGAGGACGAGGAGGAGCAAAGTGACCTTCATACTGGGGGGTGGTCGCACTGGCTTTCATTGACGAAAGCGAGATTTTGTAGTCACTAAACTGCCAATTCTCCACAGCCATGATTAGGCCATCGGGTTAGGGATCTACCGACAACTCTGGGAAACAAGCAACATGGAAGAACGTTGGGTTGACGCCCTCACGTTTCGAAAGCGCGCATGCATTGATTTGCACAAACGGAGACTTTCGGGGACCGGGGAGGGTACGCCGCCGTTCTGAGATGCTTCGACATTCATCTATGTAGCTGAGTCAGTGGCATTCGGTTTGCAGCAGTGCGACCATGAGGTAAAGATCGTGATGTAAACGACAGAGTAACAAGGCTATCCCAAGAATGCAAACACATGTGATGGTAACCATGCCCAGACCATCAGGTCAGGTCTCCGCAGAGAACTCCGAGGAACAAGAGACATGAAAGGGTTTTGCTGTACAATATATCGGCCTCCCCTCACATTTCGTAGGCGCACATGTATTGGTTTTGATATAGACGAAGGCAAGAGGACTTCCAACGAACCAGGGTGGGTGTCTCACTGTTTTCATGATCAGATGCTCCGACATTCATTTGAGTCAATTGAGTAGTGCGGTCATGCAGAGCAGATCCTGATCATCAGCGCCAATGGAAAAGCCAAAAAACAGAGTAACAGGGCCGCTACCATGTCCAATGGGAGACCAGGACCAAGTGAAGACCCCTGATGCGTGCCAAGCCAGTGTTGCCGCACTTTCCACACACCCAATCTACAGAAGACCAGACCTGAGGCTCCCGCAGCTATGATCACATCCGTATTCCCTCGAGCTTACGAGGACTTTGCTACCTTGCTCCATTTCTGATGCCCCGGGAGGCTACGCCATCGAATCCGGCCATAAGACTAGCACCCTATGTATCTTGTGCTTCATCCAGAACGCTCCGACCCCAATGGGGAACGGGTCCCTGGCTGAGGAGAGAGGTGGCAAACTATCTCCAAAAAGCAAAGTCCCAGCCTGAGAAACTTCCTATGGAAGCTCGTATACAATGCCCACATAATTGCATAGCACTGAACCGAACACAAGGAAAGAAGCTCCTGCCACAAAATCAACTAGATTGTGGAACTACGTGGTTGAAATACCGAAGCGAGAAAAACGTGAGGGGGAAGGCATCTCCGCCTCAGAGACCCAACTTCTTCATGTATTCATGCTGGCCGCGAACAACTAGAAATTTAGAGGCAGAAGTCTGTTGTCGTGTGCACATGGCACGGGCGCGGAATCACTGCATTCGGCCAACTCCGCTCATAAATGGCTGGGCTCCATGATTGCCAATTGGACACTAGTTGTGTTCCTCTTGTCTAAGCGCGGCTCCATTCTACCACAATCGTTGTGTTTGGGATAGCGCTCTTTCCATCTTCCCATGCTGGGTGGGAGTCAAACATGGGAAGAGTGATCAATTGCTTTGCAGCAGTAGCTGAGTCTGCTGAAGGCCGTCCCGTGGGTCTTTTCGCCAACGAAAACTGCTGACCCGAAGAGGCGGATCCACTGGTTCGTGTTTTTTGATGTCGCAGGTTTCTTGAAGGTGTATGTATGTGTGCATTAGAGCTCTGTTCGAGCACACTGATCCTGGAAAGGATTCTTCGGCACCCCCCGCGGTTTCAGAAACATTGGGAGAAGCGTCCCACCGTCCTTCTTCACTGACGAACGGAGCAGGAGCCAGTTGAGGGTATTTTGTCTCGCTCAGCAAAAATCATTCATTTTTGGACCACACCCTTTACACATCGGTGATTCTTCGTCGGCCCGTCATAAGCTTAACATACACTGCTCGAAAGTTTGCTTCGGTGGCTCGGATCTTTCGTCTGTCTTGAGTTGTAAGAGAACGCACGGCGCAGTGAATACATACAGTTCATGTGGTCATATATTTTGCAAAGGAGGCAGGATATGACCATGCTCGAGAGAGCGATTGCAGCTAGGCTAGGTGTCCCCACACAAAATGTCTGTCGGGAAGATCGGGAGCTAAATTGCCGGAGTGGCTCAGTGTGAACTCATCGACGAAGCCGGCCGGGGAGGAAGATGTGGGGAAGGTCCTCATTAATGGGGTAACGCGACGGAAGTAGCTTCAAGAGAAGGCGTTACTGGATGGGGGTTGGTCAATGTTCCCAGATCAATCATTCGGTTACGCATTGTCCACTCATGAGTCCTCCCGCCCGGCAAACGACTACTCCCCAGTCGAGGAAACCTCAGCTTATTTTAGCAGGGATAGTTTTGAACTTCCCACTGTATACCAGGGGTACAGGTGTTCCTTCTACCCTTTTTTTGTCGCAAATCGTGGCCAGCTCTCAAACCTTCGATTTTACTTTAGGTTTGCAACTGGCCTGACAACAGCTTCTGGTCTCATGAAGTATATATGCACAGATCGACTACTGATGTTCGTGCGAGACACACAAGATGTTAGCTACCTCGAGAGTCCTGGAAGGATCACCGTTGGACGTCTCGTAGTGCGAGAAATCTTATAGGGAATGTAGCCCAAGGAGCCATGCGACGTCATTGTCAATTAACCCATCCACAGGACGTAGCTTGCACGGAACCCTGTTTTGCTTGTTTGGGCATTATTGGGTGGCGAGGTCGATCTTATAATTGATATGATGTCAAACCCCTAAGTGAACATGCCCCCCAAGTAGTTTCTGCCTCCCTCCTACAAGATACAAGGCCGTGTTATAATCGCGGTATCGCAGCCCAACATCCTGAGTACGATATCGCATTGTCATTAGATGTCGCACTCGGCTCACACATCTTATATACATTTCTGTGTGACGCAAAGGAACAAAGGCTAAAGCGTTAGGACAACATGACAACAAAGGGAATGCCACTTCAACAGACCAGACCCACGCCCTCTACACCTAGCGATGTTCCTGTGCACCCAGGCAATCGCAATTTATTTTGATCGACAGTCCCATGCACAATCCAAAGTTCAGACCGCAACTCAAACTCACATCTGCACGTAACCCATATTGCATTGTACTTTCAGTAACCTTATCATCATTTACTCACCCATCAGACGGTTAGGTAAGTCCATTTTCTCTACTGTTAACCAATTGTGTACATTTCCAAAATGCTGGCCTTGGCACTGGCACTAAGATTGATCAGCCTCAACTGACTCCCTTGGTTGTTCCCTCCCTCGTAGCCGTCGCCAGAGCGTTCAATTCCACCAAGATTCTCGGCTTCCCATACGTATCCAGACCTCCTTCCCTAATATTCCGATACTCCTTACTCTCCCTGTCGACTTTGCATCCCCATTCACCCCACAAGTTTAACTGATTCACGAAACCCAGATTAGGCCATATGATAGGTCGCTTCGAATGGACATAAGTGTGTGCTGCGCGGTAGTTGAGTTTGTACTTTCGCATGATGTACGCGATGATGATGGATGCCGAACGAGAGCGACCCATTAGACAATGAACTAGGATACCCCTCGGAGGTGGTGACGAGGACGGCGGCAGCGGCGGCGGCGCTGACGATTGAGGATTCCTCGATAATGGTAATACACTTGACCGCGCATTCGTAAATGCCTTGACATCCCTTTGATCGCCCAATGCCAAATCGATGAAACCCAGCGCATCCTCAAACGTATCCAATAGGTTCGCGTGTGCCATATCCGCGAGCGTAATCCTCATGGAGGGGGCCCATTCGACCATCGGGAGTTCCTCCGTCACGTTAAGAACGTGCGTAATTCCGAGAGATTGTAAAAGTCGAGTATCTTCTGCTGCGGTGGAATTGCCGAGATAGAGTCCCGGTGCGATTCGAGAGAGCGGTGTCAACGATAGGATGATGACTTCATATACGTTGGCACGCGCTGGAGTTGGATTCGACGAATGGCGGCGGTGATGGGGTGGAGTCGTCGTTATCATAGCGTTAGCAGTAGTCGGGATCGGTTGGTGGAGCACAAGTGCGCGTTCTGCACGAGCGAAGAGTCCGTGTAAGGGTTCACAATCGAAATATGATTTGCCGTTTAGGCTACATACGAATGGGAGGAAAGAAATGAAAGGATAACGTTAGCAGGTGGACTGAAAGGGAAAAAAAAATACGCCGAGGGCGTACGATAAAAATGAGAATGTCAGGGAACTTCTCTCGAGGCTTGCTCGGGTGTCGATTACGCCCAGGAACTGTAGACATGGAAGGTATGGAAGGCCCCCCGACGGGGAGTGGCGGGGATTATGTCCTCTCCCAAGGGCGGAAAATCATGAGCGACTTCCATACCAACGCCGATGCGAAGGGAGAGGGTTGGTCTGGCACCACCCCTCACTGATGGGCCCCCCCCCCCCCCCTAGGCATTGCTGGATGGGGACCGCACCTCCAAGCACTGGCGCGGTGCACCGAAGGGCTATCGGGGAGAGTGCGTCTTCCCTTAGGAAAATAAGGGGAGGGGGGACAACCAAAAAAAACTAGGAAGGTGGTCCAAAACCCAAGAGACTATCTCACCTTCCGTTGTTCTTTCCAACGGGATCGTCGAACTCTATCCCTACCCACATAACTTCCACGTCCTTCTCCACACCTTCCAACTCTTCATCAGGCCCCATGAAAATCGGTTCACCACTCTCGTCGAACCCCGACACTCGAAGACGACTAAGGAGTCTACTTGGACGCAAAAGTTCCGGTAATTCGTCATCACTATCGTCCTGACCGTTCCCGTCATCACAACTGCCAGTGCCAGTGCCAGTGCCAGTGCCGCCACCGACGCCACCGACGCCACCAACGTCAGCACTACTACCACCATCACGACTGACACACCCCGTCTCCGGCTTCGACGGAACTTTGATAGGTCCAATATACCGGATAGTCCCCATATATAACTGCGAACCCAACACAGCCGAACTTTCGGATGCGCATCGCATACCGACCTTCAAACCGTTCATCTTCTCAGCTTCCAGAAGCGATCTCAACGTATCCCCCTGAGATGGAGATGGGGATTGTATCGAGGAGAATCTATCGTCCATAGTAGAATTGTGCATCGCCGCCGTCGCCGTGGTGGTGGGACCAGGACTTTGTGGCCATGGTGTGGTCCTACTAGCAGCCGAAGTATTGATCGTAGAAGCATCGACAAGTTGTTCGCCTCCACTTGAATGATGTTCGTGCTGATCCAACGTCGTCACCATAGTAAGTAGTGTATTTAGGAAGAAACAACAAGTGGTTCGTTTCTTTTTTTTTTGTCCCTCTTTTCCTCAAAAAGGCAAATGAATATGGGTGACGAAAAAAATCGCGTCCGTCTGGCAGATCGAAGTCTTGTTGGGGGGGTTGCAAGTATGTAGATCGATACAAGCAACAAAGAACCTGGGGGCGGGGTTGATCACAACACTAGTACTGCTACCGATTTATGATCGATCCCAGTTGGTCGACAGGCACAGAAGTCGTGGGTGCAAGGAGGGGGGGACACGATATATTTTACGAATCTGCGACCCACGATTCGCGATCCCTGATTCGATTTGGACTTTTCGATTTTCGTGACCAAAGTAAGCAAAGGCAACACACACACGTTCGTTCGTTCGTTCGCTCGTTCGTTCGCTCGATCCGATCGATCGATTGTATTGTTCTTCAATGTTATTGTTGTTGGGACGTTTTTTTGGGTTTTCCTTGTAACAGAAAGCCCGAATGTTGCTGTCTGGACTAGGTAAGTTAAGAAAGAAGAAGGAGAGGGGGGGAGGGAGGGAGGGAAGGAATGATTTGATGCTGTGCTGATACCCCAAATTGCAAGCATGGATTAATTATACGTTGAAAGGCCGAAAAAGGGCACACTGGCTACTCCAGTTCGTATGTGTGAGCAGCAGCCCTTCAAAACCTATGACACCCAAACTAATCCTATCCCCATGATGCGACGGATGGGGATGGATGGAGGCGCGCCCCCCGCAGACATGCAGCAGATGATAGGCGAGGGACAGAAGAGCTACCTGAGGAATTACATGGGGTGGGGACAATGAAGGCGCCAAGGCCGAAAGGCAATCAGCGAGAGGGATAATCACACAACAGGAGCACCCACGCACAGCTTTTCCATGTTAGAGATAGACGCCCAAGGGACTTGTGCAAGGGCCCCTTGTATGTATGTACAGCCTTCTCAAATATAAACTGTTTGGGTTTGTTTGGATCGAGGCCCTTTTAGGATCGCACTTTGGGTCGAGACCCAACAGCATACTGACGTATGCCCAACTACTCACTCAAGAAACAACAGACAACCTCCTGGGCAACGCGGGAAGCTTGAGACGTGATGGCTGTATGAAAAAAACTCATGGGCCGACCTCCCCAGGTGAAATTCCCGGACAAACGTACGAACACCCGAGGACGGACCTGATCCCGGAACGGAATTCAGCAGGAGCGAGACAGGATGGAATGGGGGCAAAGAACTATAATTCCCCCATCATAGTTAGATACAGACACCAAAACAGACGATGACACCAATCCCGAGGAACCACCTCATACGACGGCTTACACACACACACCAGTTGACCCCACTTTGTATTGGACGAACCCCCTCATTGTACTTCTTCGGTCAGGATGCCCGCTCTGCCACGTGAAAACGAGGATAACCAACCCCCCGAGTCCTGGAGTTCAAGGCGATCGGCGATTCCACCCCGGGGGGCTCCCCCCAAGCTTTTGTGTCGTGTGGGGAACCATGCCAGGACGTACGGATACCGCTCAACGTGCGGAAGTAACCCACAAGTCACAAAAAAGTATATCTTCTTGGATGGAATAACAAACCCAAGTTATGTAACTCCAACTGCAACACCCTGAGATTAGATTTTGGAGTTGGGGGGGGGGGAGGGACGGAATATGTACACATGTGCCACTCCATGTAGATTACAACGAGAGTAAGAAAAGCTGGGAAATCAGTTCCGGGATTTTGAATGAAAGAAGATTGGGCATGTTGCACTAGCTAGTAGCTATGCAGTCCCGCGTACAATTGTAAATAGTAGTAGTACTAGTAGTGTTATGATGATGATGATGATGATAAATAAATAATGTATGACTAACAACCCTAAGAGAGAGAGAGAGAGGATGATGGCCAGCCTGAAGAACAATTGGAAAATCCGAGCAAAGGAATTGAACCAGCCCAAATGTAGGCATGAAGATGTCAAAATCCCATCGGATCATGGAGATCCAGCGCGAATAGAATGGTACCAGGTAATGGGGGGAAGGCAACGTGCACAGGGTACTCTCTCGTAGTGCAACTGTTGTCGTCGTCGTTGTCATCGTTGTTGTTGTTGTTGTTGTTGTGGTTGTTGCAGCAAAAGTAATTTGACTGTGGGTACGTTGAAGTTGTCCGGATCCGGAGATGAACAACGATCACATGTGCGTTTTTTGCTGCCAAGAACAAAAATCGCCGATGGCATGACGCGGATACTGCCCGTCCGGACTGCTGCGGGAGAGAAGAGAGGTGGAAGGGGGAAGATGTAAGGGAGGGAAGTAACACGATAGCCTGCTTTCAATGACTTTCAAGTAGTTGGAGATAAGGAGGCGTCCGTGGACGTTGCCACCCTCTAGCAACTGCCGGTTGTGCATGATATCGAACTTCTATCCTCTCAACTTTCGATTTGCGCATCGTTGTTATCGACCACCTATAAAAGAGCCAATCCACCAAACAGTCAGCCAAAGCAAAAACATTTCCAAGGATAAGAATGACAAAACTCACCCTTCCATGAGGAGGAAATTGTATCCATCCTTGGAGATCTCCTCCATGAGTTTGGTGCGTGAATGAGTCAAGGCGTCGGAGTACTTGAACGTTTTCGACGATATACCGTCGAACATATACGTTCCGGTGACCTCACGAGGAGCGACACTAAATATTTGAAGTTCTAAGGAATTGGGCGTGGAGTGAGAATGAGGTTTGTTCTGAGGACGAGGACGAGGACGAGAACGAGAACGAGAAGCACAAAGGACTTACCATCTGCCTCGGAGTCATAGTAGATCGGCGTAGGGGCGACTTCTTTGAGATCGGTGACTTCCCACTGCGGTTGTCTTAGGGGTCGAAGTCTCATCGTTTGAGAGAAAGCAAGGTAGTAGTTAGGTATGAAGGTTAAGTTGGTTGTGAGGGCAATGGGTTGGGATGGGATGGAAAAGCTCCTATTGGCTTCTTATGTATGGAACCTGCGCAAAGGTGAATATGCAAATGAAGACCCTTGGGACACGCGTGTGTGTGTGGTAACGGAGATTAACGATTGAGGATGACTCAAAAGCTGAGCAAGCAGCCGCAAGCTGACGATTGAGTTTCCCATTGTGAAAGGGGGGAAACGTATGCACTTTATACAACCCTTTGACATTATTTCGCTGCCGCGCAAAAAATTCGGCGCCCGTTGAATACCCTCAAAGAGGTTAGCTCGCCTCCTTGGGAAAAATTGCGCCGGGGCCGGGAGTCGATTGAATGGTTTGACGCGTATGCTGTGTGATCAAAAGGTTTAATTTGTTTGTTTGTTTGTTTGCACTGGTCAAATGATGCCATCTCTCCTTCTTGGTTGCCCCCATGAGCGGTGGCGAAGAGATTACGCAACCATTTGCAGTATGTTACTTGTTCAAGTTTGGTATGTAAATCAACGATCACTTGTTCCGTGACGACCGCAGCGGCTGCGCTGACTCAGCAACACAAAGCGCAGATGCCAAGAGAGCGCCTAGTCAGAAAAAAGCGCTGGCGTAATTTGTCAACTCCCGAGCAAATCATAGCAAACCCCCCCCCCCCTCCATCCCGACGAATCCACGGCAGGACTGGAAGGATGTCTGACTTACGCGTGTTCAAAGTTACGTGTTCCCGGCATGATCACGGTTCAAATGGGCAATACATATATTCACATCCTAATTTGATTTGATTCCGAGTCAGCTCCCCCCCAAGGGCTTACATAACACCTCCACAAGACCCGCTTGCAGCTGATCTGCAGAAATTGTTCTGAAGGTCCGAGTTCATTTGATCATTATCCTCAAAGTTAACCTTCCCCCTCTTCCCCACGTCTAATGATTTCATATCCGGCCCAACGCTGTTGGAATCAAAATCTCTCGTCACCTAGCCAGCGTCTGTGTATCTCCCCGTGCATATGGATCTTGAGCTCAAGTTCCGAATTACAAGCCACATACATGCACACTTGCCGGGGGGGGGGGGGGGAGAACTATTAATTCGACTTCGATCTGCTCGGGTACACATGGGGTGCACTGCCTTGCTCATATTGTCTTTGCCCACCAAGTCTAGAGGCATGAACAAGTCGTCTTAACTACGGCGTTGTACAAGGTCTAGCTGCGCCGCTGGTTGTTCGCCATGCAACGCGCAGCTCTCGATCTTCATGTAGACAAAACAATTTTTTCTTCTGGTTGGGGAAGGGGCCGGAAGTACGTCTCCATATCTTAATAGCACGCATCAGCTGCGCCGGGGTTCAGGGGCATGCATATATGATGCGAAGCTCTTGAGAGATGAATGGCCCACTTGATCGATTTGAGTAGTTCTACTTGTAGGTACGTATGAACGAAAAAGTGTAGGGCCGGACCTCGATCGAGCAACCTTCTTGGTTCAGTTCGACGTGCGAGTATGTACATCATATATATTCTCTCACGTCGCGCGTCGCGTCACTCTCAGTAACTTGAGAACGCACGCATCCGTTAACGGTGGACGTGTCTTAGACGCGCGGCGACCGGCTTTGCAAGGAGCCGAATGCTACTTCTGTAAAGTATGTACCATGTACTTACGCGCCATACAACAATCTTCATACAAAATATATGAAGAAGATGCACGTACCATGTAAGCGTCAAATTCAGGTGTAAGGACAATGTTGCTTATTCAGCCAATCGACTTCATATACATAATGCGATAAAGTCGTGACTATGTATATACAAATGCCAATCTCATCCTCTTCCAATTCAGTCTCGGCGTAGCTGCTGACTAAAATGAGAACGTTCTCGCATGCTGAAAGTCCCGGGGACAGTTCATGACAAACCTTTTGTTCCCCCCTCAAACTGAATGGCTGAGCTTGCGGCACCCGTCAGCCTTTGGCCATCTCTCGGGGGGGGGAGGATACCACTTTCCCCCACGGAATGACCCCCGTTAGATACCTCGCAAGCTCGGTCAACTAGAGCTGCCCCAGTTGCGGAAGAATCACAAGTCGATAAGCACATGATGATGGGAGAGGTCCAGAGAAAGCACTGCAAGTGGCCATTTCAAACTAGGGTAATGACAGGGACGATTTTGGATCTTAAACAATCCATACGGGTGACATGCGTTTAAATGACGAGGACTTTAATGGTGCCTTGAGCGCTCTGGAAAACCAGAAAAATAATCATACTATGGCCATGGCTTGTTAAATGAATGTATAAGATAGACTTACATCAAGGAGCAATATCCTCTCTGCGTCTATCCACGGCAACAGATATCCCCGGAATGTGTCGTCACTCGTCACCCCGCGGTATGGAAGTCTAGTGATGACCTTGCCAACGGCATCAGGGCTTGGGGATACAGTCATACGACCTGAAACCCCGTAATCCTTTGATATCCTTGGTGGCCGGATCAAACCAGATGAAGGGGGCTCCGGCGTTGCCTGATTGTCTTTCCGCATCCGCACCATGCTCAATCCCGTCATCGGGATCGGAATCGGGAACCCAAGTGTCCTCCTCAGCGGGTATTCGTCTCTAAACAAGTTGTTCGACGCAGATGCCGTGTCATCCTTCACGCGAATAGACTCGGCACGAATCGGATAGGGGTTGAAATCCAGTATATGAAGGCGGGTACACCAATCCCATTGACTGGAATCTTCGCGAGTTTCAGGCATTGGTACACGCTCGAGGGTGCCAAAGATGTATCGGTTCATGAAAATAGAGCAAAATGTCTCTGTACCGGCAGTTGCCAACAAGCGCGCCGAACGAGGTCCCCAATCATCCCATGAAACATGGATAGGGAACACGCAGTCGGCGTCGGAGTTGGCATCTAGATTGTCATCCAGTATCTTTCCTTTAGTAGTATGAAAATCACTCTCGAAACGTTTGGTCGTGCGATAGATGTCGGACACGGCAATAAACAGCCTGTAAGATTGTTCCCACTCGGTGGACGGAGTAAGCGAAAGGACAGCGACCCTGAAATCATCCTGCCGGGGACGAACAAACGGTCCGTTGGTAGCATACGTACGCCCCCATTTTGGCGGATCGTTCGGGGTTGTGGAAGAATCTTGAACTGAACCTGATGGAACGGAGGACATGCTTGAAATAAGTCCGTCTGCAGGAATCGGCTCTCCCCCGGATAAAATTTCATATTCTGGAGCTTCAAAGACAGGACTGGGCCGGCAGTGCAACGGCGAGATGTGTGAATACGTCAACTTGGGGAAGAAATCGGGTAATTCGAATGTCGCGACATGCTGAGACGGAAGGCAAAGTTTTACAGGGGGACCGTCGTAATGACAAGGTCTAAATGAATAGACCTCTAGTGAAATGGGGTCCCCCCCATATCGAAAAATGATGAAATGGCGCGGAGATAAGAAAAGAAACGACCTCATGATAGAATCTGAGAGTTCCTGTACCCTTGAGGTTCAGGGTAATGTCTCATATGCAGAGCCAGTGAAAGACACTTACACATTGACATATCCCTGTCTTCCAATTCCAAATCCGAAAATACCGATCCACATCCAAAAGATCCCGTACCATGACGCCGACAAAGTCGCCAAAGATCTCAACAAGAATGTGCGTAGGACCAACCAGCGGGCAAGCATCGAGAGTCTCATATTGGGCCATCGGGTGAAAGCCATTATCAGACATTTGCCTTATTCTGACAAACACCTTATCCAAGTCGTCGCAAACGTAAATGGCCAAATTCTGTTCCGGATCGATACTGAAGTCCAGAAACTCGAAGCCGAGGCGGTGGAGAATAGGTGTTTGGGACCAGTCTATCTCAACGTCATCGCCATCTCCACCTTCTAGGTACATCTGACGCTCAGAATCAATTGACCCGAGCAGTGCGGATGATAATCCGTGACCCTTTGAATTCGAAAGGCGATCCGCGACTCTCGGAAGGGGGTGGAGCGATAAACAATCAGGGTCATCCAACATGTTGGATGTGTAGTACCCATACGCAAAGAATCCATGTTGCAGCTTGTATGATATTGTGTCCCCGGAAGTGAAACGGCGGGGCCGTGGATTAGCCAAAATGGTATATGTTTGAGGCTGCCATTTCAAATTAGCCCATCCAACTTCCCGCCTACGAAGACTCGTAAGTTTCTCTGCCATAGAGAGATGATCTGGATCTGGGGTTCCATCAGATCAACATTCAGTATTAGTCTCTGCATATACATCACCCGCAGTGCTACCGGCAAGAAGGTAAGTTTCGCGCTCGATGTTATACTGGAGAACCAACGACCCCTCGATGACATAGAGAAAGGCTTTAGTTGCCTACGAACGTCACTTATATAAGAACCATAAAAATGTATGATAAAAACGTGAGGAGCGAGGGGGAACGAAGGGCAAGCGAACTGCTTCTAACTAAAACTCGCCTGTTTGCACCTCATGAGATCATTCAAAGAAAGGTGCTTCAAAATGTTAACCAAAACCTCCGCCGGGAGAGCCGTAATAATGAGTCGTGACTTATCATGATTGACGCTGAGCTGGGTCCTCTGGCATTCTTGCAAGTTGATTGAATTCATTACGTAAGGTTGTCCAAAGAAAGCATGGAAAAGCCTGCATAGGTCTTGAGCCCAAGCTCCGAATTCCATACTGGGGTGAAGGACTAATTCATCTTGTGGTCGCGGTCTGCTCTGCTCGGGTACATAGCACCGGGTGCCCACTGGTGGCATGAACACAAGTCGTCTTGACTGCATGGGACTGTGTCGCCGGCTGCTGTTGCCAATGCGCAGCACTCTTCTTGTGTGCAAAACAATCTTGCTCTCGATCTCGAGCTGGTATTGCTTCCTTGGGCTGTGGGGTTGGGAACCCGGAAGTACGTCTCCATCTTAATAGCAGTTGGCCCGGGGCCGGGGTCAGGGGCATATATATATGGCCCCCTCTTGTAAAGTGTAGGGTCGGACCTCGAGCAACCCTCTTGGTTCAATTTGACGTGCGAGTATATCATATTCTCTCACGTCACCCCTACGCTTTCCAGTGACTCAAGAACGTATGCGTTGGTATACATGTATCGGACACACGGTGACCGGCTTTGCAGGGGCCGAATGACCCTCTGTAATATTTACTACGTGCCATACAATCTGCACATACAAAACATAAGATACCTGTAACGCTTTCTGAGCCACATCGGAATGAAAGCACTTGTGTATGGACTAGTTTATCCAGCCATAATGGGCATGTGCAGGTTGGGCCATTGGTGCCTGCGACAACGATTCAGCCTTTGACTATTTCTCAGGGGGGTGGTATTCCACTTTCCCCACACGGAATGAACCCCTTGCCTCGCAAGCTTGCCTAACTAGGGCTACCCTAATTACAAGTTGATAAGCACATGATGACGTCACCCCGTAACCCAATGTGCACAACGCGTAAAAAATGTGGAGGATCCGTGTTCAGGAGAAATTTGCGACATCGAAAATCCAGCGAAAATAGCTAGGGCGCTTGCACAGTTATTCCGCCAACATACAAGCCTACTTCCGAGACAACTAAGGGTCCATTGAACGGAAGCCCCTTGCATACAACGAGGTGGGGGAACGCCAAGGCGGTAGCTTGACCTTAAGAATCCTGACACCATGCAGTTCGGCCCCCACATAGCGCCAGGTAGAACGTTTGCCGAGACAAGTAGTTTTCTCACTAGTCCGTGCACGGTAATCGTCGCGAGGTGGCGATTGCACCAACAGAGAAGAACTTCAGCTGGGAAGCCTTGCACTATCAAGAGTCAGCAACAAGGTATTCGATACACAATCTAATAACCTGCGCTGCATATATAGCTGGGCTCAGTAATATGAAGGTCCAGAGAAAGCACTGTAGCGGCCATTGCAAACTGGGGTAAACGCAAAGACGATTATAAACAATCCATGTGGGTATCGTGCGTTTAAATGACCAGGACTTTGATAGCGGCTTGGTCTCTCTAGAAAACCGGGAAGTAATCATAATATGGTCATAACTCGTCAAATGAATGTATAAGATAGACTCACATCAAAGAGCAATATCCTCTCTGCATCTATCATCGGAAACATGTCTCCCTGCAATGTGTCATCACTCGTCACTTCGCGGTATGGAAGTCCAGTGGTGACTTTGCGACTTGGTAATACAGTCGGTTCGAGGCGAGTCTCCATACGACCTGAAACCCTGTAATCCTTTGATATCCTTGGTGGCCTGATCGAACTGGATGAAGAGGGCCCCTCGTTGCCTGACCATCTTTCCGCGTCTGCGCCATGCTCAATCCTGTCATCGGAATCGGTGTTATCTCTCATGCCAATAGACCCAGCATGAGCCGAATAGGGGTTGAAATCCAGCATATGAAGGCGGGTAAAAGAACCCCGTTGATGGGCTTGCCGGGGATCTTCTCGAGTCATTTCAGACATCGGCATACGCTCGAGACTGCTAAAGATGTGTCGGTTCATGAAAATAGAGCAGAATGGCTTCCTATCCGCAGTCTCCAACAAGCGCGCAGAACGAGGCCCCCAATCATCCCATGGAACATGGATAGGGAGCGCGCAGTCGGCGTCAGAGTTGACATCTAGATCGTCATCCAGTATCTTTCCACTGGTATGGAAATCGCTCTCGAAACGTTTGGTCATGCGATAGATATCGGACACGGCGATAAACATCTTGTAACCCCCGTCCCCCGTAGAGGAGTTTAGACTAAGTGAAAAGACAGCGACTCTGAAATCGTCCTGCCGGGGACGAACAAACGGTCCGTTGGTAGCATATGTACCCCCCCATTTTGGCGGATTGATTGGGGTTGCGGAGGAATCTTGAACTGAACTTGATGGGGAGGGCATGCTTGGAATAGCTCCATCTGCAGGCATCGAGTCTCCTCCGAATAAAACTTCATATTCTGGAGCTTCAAAGACAGGACTGGGCCGGCAGTACAACTCTATGTGGAATGAATACGCCGACTCGGGTAAGAAATTGGGTAATTGGAATGTCGCGACATGCTGAGATGGAAGGCAAGGTTTGACAGGGGGACCGTCGTAATAACAAGGTCTAAATGAATAAACCGCTAGCGAGACGGAATCCTCTTCATGTTTAAGAATGATGAAATGGCGCGGAGATAAGAAAAGAAAAGATCCCATGATGGAATCCGAGAGTCTCTATACCCCCAAGGTTTAGGGCAATGCCTCATATGCAGAGCCGGTGAAATACACTCACACATTGGCATATCCCTGTCTTCCAATTCCAAATCGAAAAGTGGTGATTCCTATCCCCATACTGCAGTATCATGACGCCGACAAAGTCGCCAAAGATCTCGAGATAAATGTAATCACCCCTCAACATCCAGCGAATATCGAGAGTCTCGTATCGGGCCATCGGGTGAAAGGCATTATCAGACATTTGCCTTATTCTGACAATCATTCTATCGGAGTCGTGGCAAACGTAAATGACCAAATTCTGTTCCGGATCGATACTGAACTGCCGGTACCCGAAATCGAGGTGGTGGAGAATAGGCGTTTGGGACCAGTCTATTTCAACGTCATCGCCATCTCCACCTTCTAGGTACATCTGACGCTCAGAATCAATTGGCTCGAGCAGTGCGGATGATAATCCGTGAGCCATTGAATTCGAAAGACGATCCGCGACTCTCGGAAGGGGGTGGAGCGATAAACAATCAGGGTCCTTATACGTGCCAGATGTGTGGTACCCATACGCAAAGAATCCATGTTGCAGTTCGTATAATCCGAGATAGGGCGATGGATTGGCCAAAACGGTTGTTTGAGACCGCCATTTCAAATTAGCCCATCCAACTTCCCGCCTACGAAGACTCGTAATTTTCTCTGCAATAGAGAGATGATCTGGATCTGGGGTCTCATCAGATCAACATTCAGCATTAGTCTCTGCATATACATCACCCGTACAAGCGGCAATGCTACCGGCAAGAAGGTAAGTTTCGCGCTCGATGTTATACTGGAGAACCAACGACCCCTCGATGACATAGAGAAAGGCTTTAGTTGCCTACGAACGTCACTTATATTAGAACCATAAAAATGTACGACAAACAGGAATAAAAACGTGAGGAGCGAGGGGGAACGAAAGGGCAAGCGAACTAAAACTCGCCTGTTTGCACCTCATGAGATCATTCAAGGAAAGGTGCTTCAAAATGTTAACCAAAACCTCCACTGGGAAAGCCGTAATAATGAGTCGCGGCTTATCATGATTGACGCTGAGCTGGATGAGTTGAGATGAGACGAGGTCCTCTGACATTCTTGCAAGTGGATTGAATTCATTACGTAAGGTTCCCCAACAAAGCGCTCCAGCTGGCGCGCTCGACGGTATCATGCATGCGAAATCCTTTTTGCAGATGTCCCGTCGTGAGGAAGGGGCTTGCCGTCGGAGGACTACTTCTGCTTTCAGCTCTTATCCATGTTGATGGGGCCGACTGATTGCACCGCTGGCTCGGGCGGACGTCCTCATCTAACAACCAAAACCGCCTTCCACCTTCAAGCCTGTTTGAATCCAATTGTACGAAGTGCTGTCACCTAGCTAGTGTTACCCTGGCACTAACCAATACGATAACCATGCATGGTGGCTAGACCCACACCTGCTTTGATCCATGCTGCTTACTGCTCTCGTGCCAAATGGTGATGACGAACCGAGATATTCCCACCGCAAGCTGAGCTCGCCCAAATTGGCCCATCAGGTTTCCCTGGCACGTTGATGGGAAATATGTGCTGAGCGACTGGCTTGTTCAATCCTTTGGCAGGAGCATTCCCTGAATTGCACGAGCTGCACACATGGCCCGTGCCCTCTCAGTTTCTGTTTCTCCTGCCAGATAGTGCCCGGATTCACAGTCCAAGTCGCGAGCTTTGATTATTAGAATTCTGCACTCCATCACCTGGAATATCGCAGCTAACCTCACTGTGTCCGTGCCTCAACCCTTAAAGTGTGTACAGGCACCCATTTCGATTTTCATGAACTCAGAAGCGGTGGCTTGAATTGCGTCGGCACGCGCTGCAATCAGAGAGTTTGTGGCACCTTCCTGTCATTGCGCCACTTCTCGGTACATTATTGGTCCCTGGTGTCGGATTGTAAACGGTACTATTTTTGCAACACTGAGGAAGGAGTCGCAAGTCGAAGCAGCATCTGCACCAATAAATAAAGAACTGAATCCGCAGAGTCTTGCATCAGGAGTTGGCGAGGGTCCCTTTGCGAGAAACAAAGATATTCGATATACAATCCAACAATATGGAAGGGGTACGTTGCATACAGTTGAGGGAAATTGGCAAATCGATACTAGCATTTAAATGACCAAAACTTCCACGGTGTCTCGTGTGTTCTGAAAAACCAGAATGTAGTCGAACATACTATGACCAAGGTTCTTGAAGTAAAGACTCACATCAACAAGCAATATCCTCTCCGCATCTATCATGGGTGACACGTCCCCTGGGAATGTTTCATTACTTGTCACCTGGCGGTATGGAAGTCTACTGATGACCGGGCAAGCGAAGCCGAGGTCGAGCGATTCAGTCGACTCCAGGTGAGTCTCCATACGACCCCAGATCCTGTAATCCTTTGACATCCTTGATGGCTCATTCGAATGGGATGACGGGGGCTCCTCGACGCCTGACTGTCTTTCCATGTCCACACTGTGCTCGACCCCATCATCGGAATTAGAGGCCCGGGCGTCCTCAGCAAACACAGTGTCTCCAAACAAGGTTTCCCATGTAGGTGGCATATCGTTCCTTTTAGGGACAGATCCAGCAAGGACCGAATAAGGGTTGAAATCCAGCACATGGAGGCGGGAAGTGCAAATCTGATCTAGATGTATAACGTTCTCTTCAACCTCTCCGGGCACCAGTTCGAACTCGAGGGTGCGAAAGATGTATCGGTTCATGAAAATATAGCACACCCATGTCTCTCCACCCGAAATCTCCAATAAACGCGCAGAGCGACGTCCCCAATTATCCCATGGGACATGGACAGGAAGGGCATGGACGTTATCGGGGTTGGCGTCTGGATGATGGTGCAGTGTCTCCCTACTCGCATGAAATTCACTCTCGAAACGTTTAGCCATGCGGTAGATATCGGACATGGCAACAAACATTTTGTATGCATCTGGTTCGATGGCGGACCCCAGACCAAATGAAAAGACTGCAACCCTGAAATCGTCCTGGCGTGGACGAACGAACAATCCGTTGAGAGCGTTAGCAGGTGCTGGTTTCGGCGGATTGTTCGTCGTTGTGGAGGGGCCTCCGGCCGAACCTAGTGGCAAGGATGTATTTGGAGTAGGTCCGTCTGCAGGTGGCGGTTCCTCTGGAGATAATTTTTCATATTCTGGAGCTTCGAAGACAGGAGTAGGCTCGCAGCGCAACCAGATAGGACGTGAAAACGCCGACCCCGAGGACAATTGTGGTAATTGGAATGTTGCAATATGCTGAGATGGAAGACAAGGTTTAGTAGGGGGCCCGTCGTAATAACACGGTCTGAACGCATAGACCAATAAAGAGGCGAAAGACCCCTCGCGTCGAGGAATGACGAAATGTCGTGGGGACAAGAAAAGAAACGAATCCATCCTGAAACCCGACAATTCCTGCATTTGGGAGTTTAGGATGATTAGCGGTGCGCACTTCATAAAGAAAACAGATACATACACATTGACATATGCCTGTCTTCCAGTTCCAAATCCAAAAGCGACAATTCGTAACGAGGAGCCCCCGTACCATGACGCCAATAAAGTCGCCAAATATCTCCACATAATACATGCACTGTTCAGGCGACATCGAACGAGTATCGAGGGTCTCGTATCGGGCAAGCGGGTGTAAGGCATTGTCAGACATTTGCCTTATTTTGACAATCATGCTGCCAAGATCCCCATCAATATCAGGGCCCCGGCAAACGTAAACGGCCAAATTCTGTTCTGGATCGATATTGAACTCCTGAAATTCGAAGCCAAGATAGTTGAAAATAGGCGTTTGAATCGAGTCTATCTCAACACCATCGTCATCTCCACCTTCCAGGCTGACCTGACTCCCAGAACCAATCGAATTAGGTACTAGTGATAATCTGCGACTCTTTGTACTCGAAGGACGACCCACGACTCCCGGAAGAGGCTGAAGCCACAAACCATCAGGTTCTCCCGATGTGGATGCTTTGCACCACCCACGCGCGAAGAATCCGTGCTGCAGTTCGTATAAACCACGAATAGAATCCGATGGATCGATCGGAATGGTATATGTTTGAGGCTGCCATTTCAGACTAGCCCATCCAACCTCCCGCCTGCGAAGATCCGAAAGTTTCTCTGCCGCTGGGAGTCGATTTAGGTCTGAGATTTCACAAGGTAAACATTCAGTAACAACAACGTGCTTCTCCACATATACATCACCATACAAGCAGCAACGGCACCAGCCAGGAGGCAAGCCTCACGCTCAATCTTATACTGGAGCACTAACGATCCTTCGATAACATAAAAAAGTGCTTTGGTTGTCTGTAAACACCATTTATATAAAATCATGAGATGTTTTCGTGAGGGCTTGAGGGAAGAGCGAGCCAAGTCCTTATAAAAACTCGCCTGTTTGCATCTCAAGAGACCACTCAAGGGAAGGTACTTTAAAATGTTGACTAAAATCTCCACTGGGAGAGCTGTGATAACGAGCCGCGGCCCGTCATGATCGCCAGTGGGATGAGTGACCTGAGATGAAGTTGGGTCCTCGAAATATTCTTGTGACATTCGCGCGGGTAAGGATGTGGAGTAAGTTGATTACATAAGGGCATCGGTGTCGACAGCCCGCACATTCTGGCGGTCACGATCCAGCTAATTGGATCGTAGACCTCGTACAGCGCACCGACACGGGTTTTCAGAGCCTGCTTGGGTTTGTCGAATCTCCTTTGCAGATGTGCTGCTTGCCATTGGAGAGCTGCCTCCATTTTCAACGAGCCCCGGTAGCTGACCGTAGGACTGCTTTGAAATCCTGGTTCGGATCTTGGATTTGGATCTGACTGATTGCCTTGTGACCCGATGTTGATTTCCGCTCATTAGTCAATACCCACAGCACCACCAAAACCATCATATACGCTCGAGCATGTTTGAGCTCAACTGCAAAACTGTTCCATGGTCCCAGGCATATTTGTGTTGCCGCCATTCTGGAAACAACGCCCTCAGCCCGTTGAACTAAGGTGATGAACTTCGCTCAGGCTCAAGTTAATCTGTCAAGTTTCTCTGGCTGGCGCGATGATTAGTTAAAGTGTCATCATGCCTCATGTGAGGAGCCACCAGTTTTGCTTGCTCAATCCTTGACAGTGATGATGCACACGAGCCGCACATCGCAACCACCTGTGACGCCTTCAGTTTTTCCGTGCAGGTCACAAGTCCTGAGATTTTTTCTGTGTGGATATTTGTGCTACAGCTGGCGTACATTATGTCCTTCAATTTTGCGCAGATGCCAACTTCTAGACGCTCACGAGCTCAGCAGCGGTAGCTTTAATTGTACAGACGTACACTGCAGTCCGGGGTCCCGCAGATTGTGACACCATTCCTGTCACTGTACAGCTGAACAAAATGACTCCGAGTCCCTCATGCTAGGGAGAGTGCCAGTTGAGGTATCAACTGCTCCTAGAATTTTATTCTCATACGCAGTAGATAGATGAAGGGAATGGGTCATAAGAGTGGTATCAAGGGAAGGTGCGTGCAAGAGTCCATCTTCAGAGGTGTTTTCGATGCTCCTATAATTGATAGAAATTCATCAGACTATCTGACTGCGAAGATTCTGGCATCGAATGGATAACTAACGGGTGCATGGGTTGTCTCATGATCGACATGTACATATGCCCTTTCCACACCAGGAAGAACCTCCAGTTTGTCTTGAAGCACTTGTGATATGTCGTGAGCCTTCCAGAGAGGTGTTTCTGCCGACATCACGATATCCACCTCAACCACATACCCGGGACCACTCTGCAGCGTCGAGTGGACAAATCCGGGAGTATGATGGACAATCCAGGCGTAGGCAAACACGCACGTCAGTTGTGACAAGAATGACGTAATGAAACAAGGCAGTTGCCATTCGCAGGTGGCGACAAAGTGATGTCAGCAAGAATCAATGCGAAGTTAGAGGCCAACATCATTGGTTGGGCGAAGAGCAATCAATTTGTGAGCGGTATATTTGGACGAGGTCGATCCGTCGCGTCCAAGATCTTGAACCCGACGGTCAGACTTACATGATATGCCCTAACGGTGTCAACTTTCTCAATCTCACTCGAAAAGGTGGCAGCCTTATAAGTGACCAGTTGGATAAATCCGTGAGAGGCAGATTTCCCAGCCAGAAGCTCAAATTCATTCCATATCGTTCTCGACCAGGAGAAGATGACTCCCCCTGCAATCTAAAAGGGGTACAAGTTACAGGGGGTGCCGCCAAAAGAAACGGTCCGGCTGAACCCCTGCTCACCAGGAGACCCCCGGTGGGATCGAGCCCTATTCAACTGCTGTCAGCTAGTGCAGCATCGGTCAAGACATTGATCTTACACCATCGCAGCTTGCTTCCACCAGAAGACATCAGAACACCTGTTGTTGGGTCATCGCACTAGCTTCGCTATCGGAGTTTCGGAGACTCGCCAAATGTGTTTATGAATACGTCATTTCGATGATCCTCCCATAGGATTTGAACCTGACTGGAAGATTTACGAAGAGGGAGGCAGTAGACAAATAGTAAGAACTTGACAGCTAAGAATACCAGAACTGAATCCACGAAGTAATTGATGTTCGATGGATCGCACCTAGAGCAGCCGTGACAGCAATTATGGATGGCAGATGAAATGCGTTTGTTTCTCCGTCCTTGTGAGAAATGATGGTGCGGAGTGACTCCACAATTACCACCAAGTTGACAGAGCCCATCCTGTATAACGAGTCAGTGTCAATCCGGCTTACCCTAATCCTACAGACTCACAAAGAACCTGTACAACACATTTCAATGCACTCCTGCAGATAGAAAAGTCTCCACGCACCATAAACAATATTCCCGATGGTCTCGAGTCGACTTCCTCCCACGGGCCACTTGGCGACATCGAGACGAGAGGCTTTCTTGTGCAGGTAATTCAATAAAACATTTGATCCAAGGTCGAATACTGAGTCGATGCCAGTAGCGAGCAATGATAGCGACAAGGACGAAGCAGCAGCATATACTGCAGTGATCAAGGGATCGGTAATACTCCGCACCAAATATACAAAAACTCACATTGAATGACGCAGAGAGCCAAATTAGCGAACAAACTCGTATACACTGCGATTTTGACCTGTATCAGATGACCTTTTAAAATAAGGAAAGATACAGTATTGCAGGCACAAACTGAGAAACGTGCCGCCTCCTCCGCGGCCTTGGCATCTTCCGTGTGCTCCTCCATCGGCTTCAGCAGGCTGTTGATGAGCTGCGAATGTGCTCTCAGCACAATATGGAAGTTGCGCAAATTGAGCACGATGTACTAGGTTCTGCTTCTCGTGATATTCCCCCACCACCTTCCCATTCTTACTCCTCCTCAGCTCCTGAATCTCAGAGTTGGATTTCACGGCGGATCTGAGCATGTAAGGATCGTCAGGAAGGTCCTTTGAACCCCGATTCTCGGGGTCCCTGCCACCATCGTCTGAAGGGGCAGGGGATGGCAATCTGTGTTCTTCATTGATAGAAGGCGCCCGGATGTCCTTGGTCCAAACGTTTTGCAGTTGGATAGACATACGTGCAAAGTTATCTCGGGGTATTGCTAGATGTTTGCACCGAGGACCTCGGAGATTGCTCTATTCAGATTGACCAAGGCGGCCCGCGCGCGGCTGCGTTAGCCACAGGTTGTTCATTAATGCATGCTGAAGATGCCGCAAAGTGCTCATCATCTTTGTTCCAAGTACACATGCGAGTACGGAATGCTCTTGATGCACCCCAAGCTACTAAAGTCCTTAAACTTCACGACCCTTGCTCCTGATAGGTTGTTGGCCTCTGTAAGTATACCCACGATCGTTTCACACCCCATAGCGGCAGCGCGAAAGTTGTTCCATGATGGTTGTTTAAGCCTGACTACCGCCAAAAGGGAGGACTTTCTTCCCTGCGCACTTTCAGCAAGAGGCATTGTGAAGCTGCACGTTCAAGCTACCTGAAGTTTTCCGGAATTCCCCATCTTTCACTGGTCTAGGTCTTCTATGTGGCATGATGCGATTTTTATGGAGAAGAGTCTGTATATTGGTTCTTGAGATGCGCAGAGTGAAGCTAATGCACTGCGTATAATTCTGCGTATTAAGCTAGTGTGGACTGTCGAGAGATTGTAGTCTCACAGGATCGATCCTGAAATGCAAAACTATCGAGGTCGCGAGGGGCGGTTCATCGTTGAATTGTCACAGAAGGATCTTGCGGTGGTGTGCCTGCATCATTGTTATTCAGCTGCTGCATCAAAGTTGATTGATGACAGAGACTGACCATGGAGCGTGTGGTCTCATGATCGACATGCACGAATGCTCTCTCCACCTCAGGCAGGACTTCCAGTTTGTCCTGAAGCAATTGCGATATATCATGCGCTTTCCAAAGAGGCGTCTCTCTTGACATAGCGATGTCCACTTCAACGAAGTAACCAGGACCACTCTGCCAACGCAAACACGAAGTCGGGTTGGGTGGTTTGGACAACGTTGGAGATGAGGGAGTTATTGAGGTGGACATGAACCAAGGCGAAGGAATGTTCCGTTCGCGTTTCGCGTGTCACCGGCGCCAGATCCATTAGTAAGAATTCTCGAGGGGATGAAGGTCTGGACTTACGTGATATACTCTGACCGTCTCTATTTTCTCGATTTCGTCTGAGAAAGTGGCGACCTTGTAGGTGACCAATTGGATGAATTCGTGCGAGGCAGATTTTCCTGCCAAGAGTCCGAACTCCGTGGAAACCCTCTTACACCAGGAGATGACAATAGAACTGGAAATCTAAACGGGTGTTGACGCATGACTAAACGTGGGTGACGGTGAGCCTTAGGACTCGGATAGCGGCTTAGCTCACGATGAGGCCTCCAACGGGATCAAGCCCTAGCAGACTGCTTCAGCTGAAGAATCAGCGGAGACGTGTTTCACTTACACCAACGCAGTTTACTGCCGCCAGCAGACATAAGTAGGCCTATCTCCTGTCAATACACTCATCCGGGGTGGGAGAATTACGTACGACTTACCGAAGCCGCTAATGCAAGAATCGTTGCGGTGTTCCTGCCACAAGACATCAACTTGGCTAGACGACTTACGAAGCGGGAAGCAGTAGAGTAGCAGGCATAGTTTGGTAGCTACGAATGACTGAAGAGTCAGTATAGTGGGCAACTGATGCTACAGAATCGCACCCAAGCCAGCACCCGCGGCAATAATCGATGGCTGGTGAAATCCATTCAGCTGATCGTCTCTATGGGAAAAAATGGTGCGCATAGATTCCACAGCGACTACCAAGCTAACGCAACCCATTCTGTGCGGTACATGCATGAGTGCCTGTGGACTCAATATCTCACTTTGAACTTACAATGCGCCTGAAAGGTGTCGGAATTAGGAAACACCATTTCAAAGGACGCTAACAACATACCATATGCAATGTTTCCAATGGTCTCTAGCCGACTCCCTCCCACGGGCCACTTGTCGACGTCAAGACGGGAGGCCTTGTAGTGGAAGTACTTCAGCACCAAGATTGAACCGACATCGAAAATCGACTCAATTGCCGCCGCGAGCAGAGATAACGATGAGGATGTGGCAGCCGCATACACTGGCACATGGAATGGGACGAAATGAGCATCGCAAAGAAAAAAAACAGATACCGTCAGACTCACCTTGAAGCACGCAAATCATAACGTTTACAAACAAGCTTCCATAAACAGCGATCTGAATCTGCCCAACGATCAATCTTGCCGACAACGCGGATAAGGTTTTTATGTACTAACGGGAAGACGCGCGGCTTCTTCAGCCATCCTAGCATCCTCGGAATGCTCATCGATAGGTTTCAGAAGATTGTCGATGAGCTGTGGATAGTCCACTCAGCACGGAAAGTGCAATATCACTGCGGTCACAGGGCGCACCGAATTCTGCCTCGAATGATACGCTCCGATTCCTTTCCCATTTTTCCCCCTCTTCCGAAGGGCCTCCAACTCAGACGCAGACTTCATGGCCGACCTTAACATATAAGGGTCTGCGAGCAAATCCTCTGGCGGTTGCTTCTCGACGTCCAGTTCAATCTTCCTGTCACAGGAGGAAGGCGAGGATGTCCTATGCTCTTCATGGATGGAGGAGACGCGGTTCTCTGTAAGTTGCGCGGGCTGTGCCTCAATGGACATGGGAGGAAGAATCAACGTCTTGTGCCTCTGTCGATTTCGCCAGAGGGGTTAAATACTGAAGTCATGGCCAACGGTCCAATCGAAAGCAGGACAACCCTTATTCCGGGTCCGCGGCCCAGGAACAGACGTCCGAAGACGATATCAGCCATAAAAATCGGTTCAATGCGATTATTAATTGGGAGTGCGGAGCATTAGTTCTGCCCATAGACTTAAACGCTAGTTCCAGATATTTACGTCCGTGGAGGTCTCTCCAGGAGGAAAAATGGCTCATAACCCTGTGTAGTTATATATTGGACCGTATTCGCTGGTGAGGCACTAGCCTGCCTGCTTGTCGAAGAGTAGGTAGCCTAGCAATCCAGCACAAGCACATCCGCAGACGCAAGGCAGATGCGCTTGAATATGCAGAATCAGTCACAGGAGACAATTCTCGCCCATGATCGATGGGCAGATACGCTGTCACACGTGTGCGGGGTCACCATTGCGACCCCACTGTGCAAAATCGCCCTAAGTGAGAGAATCTACGTTGCACGAGTTGTTAAAAGATGTCGAGTTGATCGGGCTTGAGTGCTAATTGCTGCGAGGATTTAAATGTCTGGAACAACCTAGCTCGATGTTATGCAGGAACATAGTTAGGTATCAAGATTCTGATCAACTTAGGTTTATCGTCTTACGCTCCAACTCTCACCAGTGTATGTCAGACACTAGAAGCGAATTCTTGGTAATAGCCGTCATCGAATCGATGCTGCTAAATTAGTAGCGGGTCGAGTGCCACGATCACAACCAGCAACGAATCCAATGTCCTGATCTCGATTTCGCGGCCCAATACAGCCTCGATATCAGTGCCAGCATCGGTAAGGTTAGCTGATAATATGACAAGGTTTGCTTTGTTTGTGATAAGCATCAAGCAGGATGTCGAAAATTTGGGACTTCGCGTGACCGATGAGGGAGAAGGGAGACCAAAGTACAGCAGTCGGAAATGAACACAGGGGATATGATATTCAAGCATGCCAGTGTCCTGTATGCAATTCAAGGCTACTCAGAAAACAAACACACCACGTTCAAAACCCCACAGGCAGGTTATCCGAAGAACTTGCAGACTTCAGCTGGACCACATGAAAGACACGGCCGGGTACCAAAGGACAGCGTTTGTAAAATCCTCAGTAGGATAATAGAATTAGCAGCCAAACGCGCAACGCTTCCTTGTGTGGATGCAACAACAACGAGGTTACCGACAAGCAGAAAAACAAGTGTATCCTCATCGCCTCCGTTTCGATGTTTGCTTCTTGCTGGAGGAAGTCGAAGAGGATACGGGTGCTGGGTTTGCTTTCTTGGGAGGCGGGCGGCGCTCGTCCGTCTTTGCCGCCCCTCTATTAACATCCTCCATAACACCAGAAGTAATCCTATCTCCGAATATTAGGGGCCAGGGAACTAAAAGTGGGATGATATGGCTTACCCGCTGAAGTCTCCCTGGTGTAAGTCGCTTTGTATTTTCATGATACGACCGTGTCTCTCAGACATCTCCTTCAGCATTTCGGGATCCATGTTTTGCTGATAATATATATATCGCAGATCGAATTCTCGTAAAACAACATCCTGATAAGTATGCGTTTTCCCAGAAACTCACCATGGCCTTTGGAAGAATGAACAATGTGATGCAAGCGAAAATCATCATCATTGCCATCGGATTGTTCAGCATTGACATCACATCAAAGCCATCCGGAAGCGCGAAATATTCTTTGCGCTGGAGCGGGACCAGCAGGATTGGGTATGCCAGAGGATAATGTGGCGGGGAGGGAGAAAATGGGGTCCCAGGGAGAAACGGTCGTACTTGGACACTTGAAGGCGCAGGAAGATGTTCCTCCGCAGGTGTAGTCCCCAAATCTTGCGACAATAACGACTCGTCAAGGATGTCAACCCGCAGCTGCAGGTGCGTTAACATTGGAGGTCACCGGACATCAAAGACAATCACCTGGTCGAAGACATGATCCCTAGCCAGCACTTCAAGGAGATAGGCACCAGGTTCGACGTTAAAACTTGTGGGATCAACGGTATAAGGGGAAACATGCCATTTATGAGGCGAGGATACAGTCGACCCACAAGGTAAATCCGCCATCTTTCCGTACTCTAGCTGAGTAGCGCCCTCCATCTAGAACAATCTTTGATTGAGGATGGAGAGAAGCTATATCTGGGGACATAGACAGAGGGTTCCAAGAAGAATTCACTGAGTCAAGCCGGGGGACTCAATGCAACACCAACCTGGGCAGTGTGTATTCCAAGCTATACTGCCTTGTACATCAATAGCAAATGAGTGCCTGGGGCGAGAAAGTCAGAACCCTCTAGACGCCAAGTATTGCTGAGGAATAACCTAAAGAACGCGAAGTTGGCTAGCAGGATTAACAAGGCACAACGCATTGATGCCACTGCAGACAAGCGTGACAAGACCTTACGTAAGCCTCTCCAAAACTTCTGGTCACACGACGTGACGGACGGCCTCCTACTACCATTCCCTATGGTGAGGCACCAGCTGCGAACTATCTGATGTATGGGACTGAGGCCTTGCCTCTGGCAAGACGGAATGCACTAGTTGAAACAAGATCTTCAGGCCGGCACAATTACGTAGTGTTTTTTTCTTCCGTTTCGCATGTCGTCACTAGTTCGTTACATCAACTCCACTTCAGACTTCGGAGTGGGCCATTCATAGTATGAAATGAGTTACCGAAAAGAATTTCTTCATTTGCATATTGTCCTTTGCTTGTGGCATACTTTGCAGACATTACATACTTTGCACGCTTCACACACTGTGGCAACTTCCCATAGTTCCCACACTTTCCATTTTCAATAACACACAAATTGCTTCCGATGCAAGTCACATGGTGGGTTCAATACAGAAAGTCACATGCTACAGAGTGTGGCTATTCCGCGAAATGAGATGAGTGACCCTCGGATTTCGGACAATGTGACCTGTGTTCAACAAGTCCAATCACCTTTTCCGGAATTTTGTAAAATGTAGTATGGCTGTGCTCCATCACTATCCAGCCATTAAAGCTCTAATCTCCCCAACCCAGAAAAAAATTAGTTAACCCCACCCAACATTAACCTGGCCCAATCGGACTTGTGTTTGACCCTGCGGAAATAGTCACACTCTGTAGCATGTGACTTTTTGTATTGAACCCACAACGTGACTTGTATCGGAAGCAATTTGTTTGTTATTGAAAATGGAAAGTGTGGGAACTATGGGAAGTTGCCACAGTGTGTGAAGCGTGCAAAGTATGTAATGTCTGCAGAGTATGCAACAAGCAAAGGACAGCATGCAAATGCAGAAATTCTTTTCGGTAACTCATTTCATAGTCATCGGTACTTGCTATCGGCTATAAGTTTTTACATCTCTATCGCCCACTTCTCGTGCCTAGGATCAAGGATATGCCATCTGAAGTATTCTATAGGCTTTATCATCGCTCTCAGCACCCGCTTTGTTCATATGGGATCTCAGATGGGGATGGAAAACTAACAGCAGCGCGGCAGCGTTTGTGATGCCCTGTTGACTGCATGTGATAAGCATCGATCGTCATGAAATTTACCCTGATATTAATATTCATGGATCGTCCGGTGTGGTTACCCTCCGTAACATGAACTTGATTGTGACATTGTGGCATTCGCCCGCCTAGCCATACTGAAACTTGTGGGTCATTTACAAGCTTTTCTGCGGACCCTGGAATGGGTGTTCTCAAGGTGCGGATGAAAGGTTCAGCGGTGGAAACACCTTCCACAATACTTCTGGAGTCCTTTGTTTCTCTCAGTGCGCCGATCAGAGGTCCTGTTCTAATGGACAGGACTATTCACAGACGACATATCCAGATCACGATGCACCGATGGTGATGCAGGAAACACATTGAAATGCCTAACGTTCGTTCAGGGACGCGTATGCGCACTGCTATGAAGACCTCAAACCATCCTCGTTCCGTGTGGGAGGATGCGATTGGGGCCTCATGGTCTTGTGTAGCGGGAGCTGGGCGTCAGGTCGGAGGGCTTCGGGTGGCGTTCAGCAAGGTAGCCCAAGATCACCACATGAGAGTCAAAGCGCTGCAACTAACTGCCGAGAGCAAGTATGCTGCAACGCAAAGGTGACGAGTATCTGGGATTAGCGCTGGGGACCATTCACTCTCTGCAGAGACGAGGTGCGGATAATTCACACAAGCCGCAGTATAGAGATCGGATCCGGCAAGTAACCAAAAAAACGGCCATTTCAACTTGAATAGGCGCGGAGCGGCATCATGGGCAGGTATATCCTTGTTTAGGCCGTACTGTCACCAGTTTAGCACGGGCCTTCAATGTAGTCTTCGACCATGCGGCGCGCGGCTGTCAGGACATGATAATTCAGATGGCATACGATGAGTAGAGGTCGGAAATCATGGAGAGGGGTTGTATGAACGAACCACGTGCCTTGTTGAGTGAAGTGCGTCTCAGGCCAGTGCAGGATATCGACGTACGCTGTGACCCGACTCACGGAGTTGAGCCTGCGGCGTCGTATTACCTTTCTTGGTAACTTTACTACCATGCTTGTGCGCTACTCAAAGCGCCTCGCTTATAAAGCGAGAAAATTATTCTTTATGTCTTTCTTCAGTTCACGTACTACGGAACTGAGGTGAAATAATTTGTTCAATCCCTTGTCTTGATACGTACATACGTCGTGTCCGACTCATGTATACTATAAGCGACATATCGCCAGGCAACATTCTAGTTCGCGTACTACGGAACTGAGCGACATACCGCTAGCGTAAATCGAATGGCCAGCACTCCGTGGTTCAAGACACCTATGAAGTTCGGCAAGTGTGTTGAATGAGCGTCATTCCTATCGTCCTGGACCATTGTACTGTTATCGTGGGTCGCAGGAACGCTGAAGGGGTCTCAATATCCTCTGCCAAGGAAGGGGACCGCGGGTTCTTGATATCCCCCGCGCAGGGAGGGGATGGCAATGCCACTTGCGTCCGGATTATCAACTATGACTCAATAGAGCTTGCCTGGATACCCTCTTTGTCCCTTCTTCCCCAGCATAGGGGCATTTGCTCATATTACCCCCCATGATTAGACATCAGTATCGATGATGGAGGCAACCCCACGAAAGTACCACTCGGAGGGCCGGTGTGCTTTTACCGCAACCCCATAATGAACTGGAGATATTTCATCCCAATCCTTCTATCCATTTCATTCGGAGTATATGTAGCAGCAAATTAAACATAATATTGAATATTGGGGGACTACTGCCTATTAAAACGACGTAATTATCCGGACCTTCCCAGGTAAAATTTGAATGCACCACTATGCCATCGAGTAAAGAGAGGAATGATAGAAGCCGCGCTAAACGACCTGGCTGATGTCAATGATGATTGGGGCTGTCATATTGCCTTGGACAATAAACCGAGTACCATCCTTGCTGGCTGGAGGGAAGTAAGGATAGTTGCAATTCAGCACCCGATCACCGTACCAGGCCCCATTACTATGGTCAGTCGGCCAGTACTCATCTGGGAGGAGAAGTTCAACTCCTCCATTGAACCAAATGCCATATCTATCAATGATTGGAACTCTTCCTACGGTGGAGGAAAGGTGTTCATTGATGTCAAACAAGGATGTGGCCTCGAAACCATAAAAGGGGCACTCCATCCAGGATTCATCCGTGTTTTTCACACCAAGGGTTTTCTCCGGGAATGAAGGAGTGGCGAGTTTAGGGTGTACAGTCTCAGGAGTGACATATGAACCGGTGGGTACAACGCCAGCACTGAGAACCCACCCCACAGAATCTGGGAAGCGATATCGAGTGATCAACTTGCATGAATCAGTTGACCAGACGAAAACGTTATGGGAGAAGTGAACAGCAACATATCGGCCTCCAGGTGAGAATCCAAGCCTATACTGACTGGGAATGGTCGGAATCTCAGGGAATTCCAAGGGAGGCAATGCGAGAAGTTGAATGGAGGGGTCACAAGAAATATATAAGAGTGCGATGTCGTTGCGGCCTTCATGCAACTCCCCTGGGGCCCGTAGGACCATAGAGCCACTGTCGGAAACAGCAGCTACAGGAGGATAAAGGTCGCTGGGCAAGGTACCGAGTCTCAGTGGTTGGATATCATCGCCAAAGATAACGATATTTCCACCGCTGTCCTCTGTTGCAATCCAGTGGTTGCCATTGCAGAATTTGATCCAAACTAGATGGCTAGGGGGGTTGCATTGGAACTGGGAGATCGTGCACTGATGGTCGATATCAGCAATCTCAATAGCACCACTTCCAAAACCAAGGGTAATGAAATGGCCATCTGGGGAGAGTGTTGCACAGGTCACAATGCCATTGCGGACATTATGGTCACAGAACTCGGCTTCGTAATCGATCACAGTGTCGTGACGTCCTCTATCAACCTTCTTTGGAAGCTCATTCAGCTTCGCCTCCGTGATTTTTAAAGCATTAAGTGCATCCTGACTTAATGGGATGACGTGACCACCAAACTCGCCATCGATGCTGAAGACTCGAATGGGATCTGCGAGGTGACCATACAACTTGTAGATGGGTGATGATGATGGAGTGAATGGGAGGCAGGATCGATACACATTGTATCCATCAAGGCCCTTGATTCCCCCTCGCAAATCCTGTCCAGCCTCCCAGAGTTGCATCAATTCGTGTCCCTGTGGAGTACGGGTGATGTCATAATTTTAAGTCCTTGAATACAATTGATTCAGGCTTACTTTGAATGGATCCCAGCTGCATCCGATGATATCACTCACATGAATGAACGAGAGTACATGCTTTGTGAGAAACTGATTGAATTCTCTCTGCAATTCATTGGACTCTCGCGAAAAGAGGAGTGAAGGGTCTAAGTGCTCGACCAACCATTCAAATGCATAATCGACATGTTTCGGTTGCTCCTTGTACCAATTAGTCCACTTCTTTTTATCCCCTAAGGGAAGTTCGGTGGGGATATTAGGCTCATTCCGGTCAAGTACACCATTCACAAGTCGAAGGAGTCGTAGTCCGAGGAAATATCCCTCCACATCACTGATAAAGAAGACGCTGTCGCTTTCCTCGCCAATGGGTTCACCCATGATAAATTCCTTCGCGGTTGCATGGTAGAATGTGACCGGCTCTGTGTTGTCTGAGGGAAGTTTGACTATTGAGCTGATAGGTTTCAACGTCACGTCGATGTCATTCTCAGTAATTCCTAAGAGAATCGACATAGACTCGATGTTAAGTATATAATCAGATTGCGCCGCGATGATCATCCCGACTACTTGGCGATAGTTATTGGCCACGCGGGGACGAACACCTGAGAAATGGGACACATAGCCCCGCCGGAGTATGCGCAGGTATTCCGAGTTGAGATCATTCGGTACTTCAGTAAGGTCGCGAAAGTAGTCAAACTCCTGTCTGAGGGAAGATCCCATTTGAGTGCGAGCACAGACCTCCCTTACTCGGATCGAAGCCATGACGGGTAATCCACGGCAGCCTGAAGTGAAAACCTCGAGGTCTTCCTCTGATGGTTCCCATGCCGACTCCCTGATACAATCACGGAGTCCTTCATCGACCATACAACGGACCGTGTATAGTGTCTCATCCTCTTCGGTCTTATCCACATCTTCGCATGGGATCTCAAGGCTCCCATCCCGGGCTTTGGCTCGGTTCCAAGCCGAAACGACTTCCTGCTCAGGACGACAACTGACTAGTACAGAAAATATTGGAGGGAGCTCATCAAGTAGAAGCACGAGCTTCATTAGGGACTGAAGTGCCCCTAGATCGCCACATTCGTCTAACCCATCCAAGACGATCACAATGCGTCCCTCTCTCGAAGCCCATATCCCCATGAGATCATTCATTGGTTCAGTGATCAAAACCTTCATTTGCGTCTCCAAGGGAAGGCTCTGAACCAACTCCAAATCTGGATTCCGAAGGCGTTTGACGAGCAACACCTTGAAGTCCTCATTCCAGTGCGCGAGCTGCCGTGCAAGGGTAGAAGGAAACCGCTCCAAAGAATCGAGGCCCGTTCCCTTTTGGTTCTTATCCCAAAAAAAGGAGGCTGCTAGGCTATGCTGCTTATGAAGGGTGGAAGCAATACTCATAGAGATTGCCGTCTTCCCAGTGCCAGGCGAGCCCCTTAACCAGACGAATCGGGTTCTAGCCTTCCCGAGATGTTTGAGTATGGACCTTTGCATCCTGATACGCGTGGTCGGGAGACATTCAAACTTGGTCTTCACATAAGTATACTCAGCCGGGACGCGCGCAAGCCTCGCAAGGTCAGCTGAAATTACCATCAGTGGAGGGACTCAGGAAAAGCCATGGGCACGTACATTGTATAGCTGTTTGAATCGTGTGAAGAAGGGCCAAAGTTGTTGCCTCCGACTATGATATGCACTTTCAGTCAGCGAAAAATCAAACACTCGGAATACAAAACAAACAAACCGAGAAGGAGCTGACTGCCTTGTTTATACATGCCTTCACGTCGCTTATGCTCCGCGAGATCTGAGTCCCCGAGACTATTCTCTTTATAAGGCCTTGACTCTTCAGTGACCTGATCTGTCCATTTTGGTCTTCTAAGGCCCTATCAACGGGGTTTAAGTCCAGATGATCAGCACGAGAGATGAACATACGTACCGGTGAAACTCCTTGATTAGTGAATCGACTTCTGGAGATATCTGGCCAGTCCACAGCTGGAGTGGCCGCAAAATGGTGTTGTAGGCTTTTTGTACCTCCTCGTTCAGTTCACTGAGAGTCTCCCTATTGCCATCAACGGTCTGCACAGGTGGAGCAAATATGAGCGATATACCGTCATTGAGAAAACTGCATCCCAACCTCGAAAACTTGGAGCAATGTGAGAAGTACGTCCGGGATGTTGGCGAGAAGCGCCGGAACGGGGCTCATCTTTAGAGCGGAGGCTGCGGTCTGAAGAAGGATCCTCGTGGCGCCAAAGACCGATTTCTTTCTACTGCCAGTGGGACCGGTCGGCGACGGTAACAACGGCTCTGATAAGGGAGGCGAAACAAAGTCTGTGCCTCGATGTTCCAGTTGTGGACGGAATCTTGTATTGTTGTCTTGTAGGGTATAGATACCAGGTGTTACACGGGGCGTCTCGATACTTCCCGGCCAAGAGGGAGGAAAGGGTGACAGCACCGAATCATCATGGAATGACTGAGCGGAAATAGTCGAAACAGACCGTTCGGAAAGGGGCGTGCGTGATCGATAGATACTATTAAGATGGGGAAATTTCCCCCCAATATCTTGTTGAGAATGTGAATCCCGTGGATCACCAGAAGAATGCAGTGTGGGCGCGACTCGGGAAAGCCCATGATAAGACCCCGTTGGTTCTTCCTCTTGATCGTGGCGAATACTGCCGTAGGCCTGGCGGGCCTGCGAACCGTAAACCTGGGGAACTTGAGGTGAAGAAACCAAAGTGTGCAGCCACGGATCACTCAAAGATGGTGCAGTCGATGCAGTCGTGCGTTTTGGAACAGGCAACCGGCGCTGAATATAATTTCGAGAATTACCAGAGGGTTCCGGAGGTGGTGCTGATCGATCGTACCAATCGCGAGGGATATTGACGTGGCTTTGAGTCTGAGAATTGGTAAAGCAGCTCTGGGAAACTTGAAATGAGGAAGTCGAGGGTTGCGATGGCTGTGGATCATCACAAGATGGCTCAGGGGTGGGGCGCTTTGCTATGCGATTGTTTGAGGCAGACGTCGATTTCCTCTTCTGAGACATCGCGCAAACGTGAAGCACAGTCAAGATGGGTAGAAGAGTGAAGATTGACCTGCGATTCAGCGCTGCCACACTCGACGGTTATGTGCTGAAACGGCTGTGCGATGGAGACACCGAAAGTATGCATTGCCTTGTTCCGTTTTTGGAAAATAGAATGTTGGTTCAGAATCATTTACTACTTAGTCGTAACCACGACAAGGGAAGCTAGCGAATTAGCCGAAGCGGTGCTTGCTTGCAGTTTGGTTTGTATTAATCGTGCTTCAGCAGTACAGTGGGATAGGCGCTCGGCAGTGCATCCGCTACGTCTGTCCAAGACCTTTTCCACTCCGAAGGTCTGGAGCGGCAGATCTAAGCGTCTAGTTCGTCTACTTACGGTACCTGGAGGGGAAGCACATTAGAGACAAACACCGGCCGCCGTACCACAAGTCACAACTGAAAAACTACGAACCAAAAAGGCAAGAGCTGTACGGAACACGCTCCCCCACGGAGACCCAGCCCTAGGCAGGCTACCAGCCTCTATTGGGATAGAGCCAGCCTCCCACCACAAACCACCAGCCACACTGCCAGCGTAAGCTAAAGAAGGTTCCACCAAAAGGCAAGAGCTAAAGAGACACCAAGCATCGGTTCATGCCTTGACATCAAAATCAACCAGTGGGCCCACAGTCTTCCGAGGCTCGTCGGCAACGGAGGCATGGTTCCGTAGTTCGTGGCTATGCGTAAATCACGCACTGACCGGTGCTGACATCGTGGCCGAATATGGGACTTGTCAATGGACCGTGATCTGGGTGGACGGGTGCACTAGCTCAGATCGGACTCATTCTTGTTATTTTTTTCCTGTTTTTGTTCGGGGGACCCGGCTCTGCCCTTGGCACCTGCAGGCTAAATATACAGAAGTCACACAGACATACTGACACCCTGTGAGCGTGCACCGGGGGTGTCGTGCACGTCATTTCTTCAATCCGCTGCCCTCACCTCAACCTCACAGTAAACCTGACGTTCCGAACGCAACTGCATGACTCTTCACATCATTTCACCCATGCCACATGGCCTTTGTCTGTTCGTCATGGCATAGATGGCGCGAAAGCGTATGTCAGAAGGTCCTCGGCCGAGGGCGTGTCAATTCTCGAATATATACAATATACCGGATTCGAATATTAGAGTAAAATCGCCGTAGTCCGCTTGGCGCAACTGGCATGCCAACGCGCTTGACTCTGCATTCCAGGCACATGCATCTAGTGAAACTTGAAGTCTTTTTCTTTTTCTTTGGTACCAGGTGCTCATCTTCTGTCTTTCTGATCTCACTTTGCTCGCCGCAATACTGTCTCGTTATGCGTTGGTCCCAAACAGTCCTTGGCCAACTCTTAAGCTCACCGCTTGGCGTCTGAGCCTGAAAACCATTGGTTTCTGCGATTGCTAATGGGCTTTCTTGGGGGGCGTTTTTGCTGGACTGACTTCCGCCTGCTACGTTCCCGGGGTCTGGGAGTGGCTGCAGTTCGTATGGTCTATTCCAGCCCCAATCGACACTTATATATACTCTACACTTGGGATACTGAATAGTGAATCCCGAGTGGGAGCTGGATTAGGGGCTGGGTGTAAACCGTCTATTTCCACGCGAAACGATATCAAGCCTATAATGTTCATCGAGTAGAATCCCCGGATGCAAGAAGTTAAGCAACATCGAAGATAGTATCATGGCTCCATCAAAGACGTCTGTGATTAGAATGATTAATACTAGCATCTTCTCTCGGACAAACACCCGTCGAACTTACTGAAATGTGGCTAGGGGGAACACGACTGAGTGATGGGTTTTGGGTCAAAGCAAGCGAATACGCATTTCTGTCTGGATGACACTACCGTTCCAACCGTCACTTAGCTCAATCGTACGATACACGGCTTAGATGAGCAGTAAAATTGAATTTAAACCGAGCCCGCACAACATGAGCGCTATCCTGGGGTCAAGGAGACATACTCTCCACCGAACATCGCCTCGGGGTCCTTCTCAGACGGCGTGGGGCTCGGAGTCGACCCCACCCTGACCATCCCAAAAATAACAAGGAAGGCTGGCATTGGAGATAAGAGTAATGAAGACAACGAGGAAGAATGGAAACTAGCACAAGTTTACCGGCTGTGGTGGACGGAATGGCGAGTAACTGCGATCACAACCAATGAGAGGCATCAAACGTCACACATGATGTGTCCTCCAATATTTGGGTCCCGCTGATGGAGTCCGCTGCAGCCGACGTGGTCCTGCCACCCAAACCCCTGTGATGCATGTTAACACTGCCAGGCAAAAAAAGAGGATCGAGCGAATGCCTGCCTGGACCACAAGCGCCACTGAGTCCACGGACAGAGCATCTAAGCCAACATATCGATTAGAGGTAACTTGCGCCGCATCCAGAGTGGTATGAGCATACAAGCTCTTGCCGAAATAAGGCTGTATTGAGGCCCCAAGCGATTGACTATTTCCCAAGATGATAAATTTGCCGCGCTCAAGAACGTCGAACTACGGAAGCAGTGATATGATCTGATCACCTGAAATCATCGTCGAGATTTGTGTGAGGAAAGCAGTGTTTGTAGAGACGTTCTTGGCGGATCACAGTCGGTCTGACCATCTAGCGTCAAGGGTCGACTATAAGCATTCGCCGATAAACGTAGTATCTCGACGTTGCCAACGATACCACCGATGACAAGAGTAGAAATCAAGTACCGGCGTCAGCACCAGAGGACTTGACCCAAGTGGATGGCTAGGAGTATATATAGTAGTTTAGTTGCATGTGCACCGGACCCACATAACCTGATGTGGCGCGTACTTGTACTCAACGAGAAGAGTGCCAAGAATGTGATGCAAATCCCCAAAGTAGGGAGTATAAGACGGTTCGACTGACATTGTTGAAGTCTCAGGATATTTAGATGGAATAGATTTTGGGGAGGCGTGAGAGATACCCTGATCGAGCCAAATATCAGATCGTTCTGAGCCATCGAGTGTCGTAAATATGAGGTACATAACCGTAACGGAATGCACAACTGAATGTTTGTATCGCGTAATCATCCAGCCAGAATACAGGCTTCGACCGTGATGGCTGTGTTGCATGTATAGTGGAGCAATCTGTAGGACTCGGATAAGGACGTCCACAATGACATCATGAAGACCTATGCAGTCGCAGATCAGGCCTTGTGGTTTCACTACGACCTTAGTGCTGCGGCGTGTTATACAACACTTTCGTGGAGCCCGGAATCGCCTCCAGCTTGTTGACATGTTGACACACGCTGTTCTGGTGTATAAGCCCCCGCACGGCATCCTAACCTGGGCAATCAGTTACTGTGATTGCTTGCCATGGGCTTTCGGAGCTTGTAAGCTGGTGTTTGCGCTTCATCTACTTCCAGTCCCGGCCACACTTCGGAGATAGTGGCCTTTCAACAATGGACCCTGTTGATGCGCGCGAGTCTAACCATGCCTGCCCCACATTTTATCCCTCTCGGGATTTAGGGGCACCTTGGACAACCACTATGTGGGCCTTTATAGGGGGGACCTCAGGACGTTTGCATGGGGCCTAAAAGGCCTTTTTCACTATAAGCGTCCTAGGACATCCTGGCCATTCAGTTTCATTCATTTGTTGCAAACGTCCTCAGATGTCCTAATTCAGTTTGATTCAATGTTTACAAATTGTCCCGGAATGCCATACTCGTCCATCCCATGGTCTGTGCACATGCTGACCACTGTCTAGAGGGATGTCAACACTGTTTCCCACGGTCTGAACACACTTTACATAGTTGAATAGCCCCTTTGAATAGCTTCCAGAATATATATTTTGAGACTGAATTGACCAATAAATTATTGAGAAAAATGCAAAATACTTTTTTGGACACGAGTCTTTTGATGGTGGCTGTCCAACTTATTTAATGTCTGTGCACAATGCTGGTCACTGTCTGAAGGGGTGTCAGCACTGTTTCCCACGGTGTCAACACACTTTGCATAGTTGGATAGCCCCTTCAAATAGCTTCCAGAATATATAGTTTGAGACTAAATTGACAAGCAAGTTATTGAGAAAAATGCAAAATGCTTTTTTGGACACTGTTAGAACTGGGCAAGGGCAGACGATTCTGGAGGGGAACCGGAGACTTAGCAAGGAGGGACCTTGGCCTCAGTGACTCAAGTGGAGTGCTGTGCCATTGCTGTTTGTCCATTTGGTCCTTAATTTCATAGGAGGCAAGCAGGAAGTCTCTAGGGGCATTTCAGGTCAATTTTAGACTAAGGACTAAAACGAGTATGTACAAGCGCTGATATATATAATGGAGAGGGCAAAAGCACAAGGAAACAAAGGGGATCTGAATCGGAATGAAGGTGTCCGAACAGGAACAAAGGGATGACAGAAGTGGAGTGGTACCGAAGGTCATAAGGTAGAACCTGTGGTACGTCCGAAAGGAGGTAAGGAGGGCGAAGCCCAGAGGGGCAGGAGGACGAGGGGAAGTGGGGATGATGACTAACTGGCTAGAATGGGAAGAAGCAGCAGTCCAAATAGGGATGAGGGGAAAATGCGAGAGATACATTACAAGCGGCGAAAGTGCCGAAGATGATCCATGGAGCTCGGAGGTTACAGAGGTTACGGAGGCAGGGTTGAAAGTCCGAGGAATATTGGCAATGGTGTTTACATAGTATGAGGTCACCAATGCAATGGACTAAGGCTGAGGTGGAGTCAAAGTCCGAGGTAGGAGCTATGACGGAGTCTCAGAGCGAAGGTATGAGCGGTGTCTGAGTACGAGGTACGGGACAGCGGTGGAAGGTTGTAACTTGGCAGGAGGTTGGCAGAAGAGGACCAGAGGGAAGAGTGGCGGGAAGGAGAGTTGTCAGGTCCGAAGGTGAGTATCGGAGCGGACGGGAGAAGAGTAGGAAGAGGGTGGCAAGAGGAGTGGTGTTCGGTCTGAGGTGAGTATCAGAGTGGACGGAGATAGGACAGGAGAGGGACGGAGGAGTGGAGGTGGCATGGGGGGTGAGAGGAGGTGTGGTGTCAGGACCGAAGGTGAATATCGGAATGGACAGCAGTAGGGCAGGACTCTGGAGGTGGTGAAGGAGGAGGTCTGGGAGTCGGGTCGGGATCGGGTATGCATGGATATGACAGACACGAGTCTTTGGGATATCAGTGACCCGGGAATTTCAATGACTTCGATGACTGTCAGTGAAATTTAGTGGCCCAAGCACTATCCCAAAGACTTGCATCCAAAAAAGTATTTTGCATTTTTCTCAATAACTTGCTTGTCAATTTAGTCTCAAATTATATATTCTGGAAGCTATTTGAAGGGGCTATCCAACTATGCAAAGTGTGTTGACACCGTGGGAAACAGTGCTGACACCCCTTCAGACAGTGACCAGCATTGTGCACAGACATTAAATAAGTTGGACAGCCACCATCAAAAGACTCGTGTCCAAAAAAGTATTTTGCGTTTTTCTCAATAATTTATTGGTCAATTCAGTCTCAAAATATATATTCTGGAAGCTATTCAAAGGGGCTATTCAACTATGTAAAGTGTGTTCAGACCGTGGGAAACAGTGTTGACATCCCTCTAGACAGTGGTCAGCATGTGCACAGACCATGGGGTGGACAAGTATGGCATTCCGGGACAATTTGTAAACATTGAATCAAACTGAATTAGGACATCTGAGGATGTTTATAGTGAAAAAGGCCTTTTAGGCCCCATGCAAACATCCTGAGGTCCCCCTATAAAGGCCCACATAGTGGTTGTCCAAGGTGCTGTTGGGAGGCTTTTGGATGGTGGTAGTTCCCAATGAATAGGAATAGAAGGCATGGGGAAGGGTAGGAAGCCAAGACTCGAATGTATCCTATTGAAATACTTCTGGATTCTATCGCTTCCTGGCTGGAGATGCATATGATTTAGGACTTTGGATGGGCAATGATAATGCAGCCAATGGCGACGCAGGGGTATCTGGTGGGCGGTGACTACAAATAGTTTACTTTATTTGCACTCCCGTTTGATCAATCCCTTTCACACCACCCCCATTGTTACCCCCCATGATCAGATATCAGTATTGATGATGGCTGTGATGAATACTGATGACCTTGTCAGGGTTCAGCACCCTGCCTTAGGGTGCCCCGGACTCCCCACCTACTTTACCCCCTTTTATTCTTTGACTGTTGCCTTGTTGTTGCCTTTGTGTGTTGTGTACACGCGCGCGCACGGGATAGCGTGGGAACTTTCTGAGCGAGCAGCTCGCCCAGAATGTTCCCACGGGTCACAGCCACAGTTCTGGGCGAGCAACTCGCCCAGAACGTTCCCACGCTTACTGGGCACTGCCACCTGGATGTTCCCTCCGGGTCACACTACACAACTCTAGGAGCTGTATAGTTGTGGGCATGTGACCCATTCCTTTATATAGCAACCATGCGGGGAGATGAGACCTTTACCCTTCTTCTCATCTCATGCCCTGCATAGGCAAGTGTATATATTATCTTTCCTTTTACTATACATCTCATGCCCCGCATAGTGTGAGGACAGGTTAGATGGGGGTTGAGGTCAGGGAGCCTCCGAGTCCGAGGCCGGGCCCTGACAGACCTGGGTGGAAAGCCATTGAATGCATGGATTTGGAGGCAACCCTGCAAATGCGCCACTTGGAGGGGAGGGTGATCTGTTTTGCTTTTATCGCAACCCCAGGCATTGTTAGAACCGGGCGGGAACAGACGACTCCGGAGTGGAATCGGAGACTTAGCGTGGAGGGACCTTGGTCTCAGCGACTCAAGCGGAGCGCTGTGCCATTGCTGTTTGTCCATTTGGTCCTTAATTTCACAGTAGGTGAGCAGGAAGTCTCTAGGGGGCATTTCAGGTCGATTTCGGACTGAACCAAAATGAGTATGTACAAGTGCCGATATATATAATGGAGGGGGCAAAAGCACAAGGAAACAAAGGGGAACTGAATCGGAATGAAGACGTCCGAACGGGAACAAAGGGTAGAAGAAGCGGAATGGTACCGAAGGTCATAAGGCAGGACCTGTGATACGTCCGAAAGGAGGTAGGGAGGGCAAGGCCCAGAGGGGCAGGAGGATGAGGAGAAGTGGGGATGATGACTAACTGGCTAGAATGGAAGGAAGCAGTAGTCCAAATAGGGATGAGGGGTAAACGCGAGAAATACATTACAGGTGGCGAAAGTGCCGAAGGCGATCCGCGAAGCTCAGAGGTTGCGGAGCTTACGGAGGTTACGGAGGCGGGGTTGAAAGTCCAAGGGATATTGGCAATGGTGTTTACGTAGTATGAGGTCACCAATGCAATGGACTAAGACCGAGGTGGAGTCAAAGTCCGAGGTCAGGACTATGATGGAGGCTCGGAGCAAGGTACGAGCGGTGTCCGAGTACGAAGTATGGGACAGCGGTGAAAGGTCGTAGCTTGGCGGAAGGGTGGCGGAGGAGTACCAGAGGGAGGAGAGGGGGGAGAGGTAAGGAAGAGGGAGTGGTGGAAAGGAGAGTTGTCAGGTCCGAAGGTGAGTATCAGAGTGGATGGGGGAAGCGTAGGAGGATGATGGGAGGGTGGAGGTGTAGTAGGAGGGTGGTGAGAGGGGCGATGTTTGGTCCGAGGTGGGTATTGGAGCGGACGGAGATAGGGGAGGAGAGGGAAGGAGGAGTAGAGGTGGCGTGGGGGGGTAGAAGGAGGTGTGTTGCCAGGAACGAAGGTGAGTATTGGAACGGCAGCGGTAGGTTATGACTCCGGAGGTGAAGAGGGTGGAGGTCCGGAAGTCGGGTCGGGGTTGGGTATGCACAGATATGACAGGCATTTTCATCCCAATCCTTCTATCTGCCTGACATACTCTGCCATCCAGGGCCACCAGTAGTCGTGGGAGACAAGTTCCAGGGTTTTCCACTGCCCTGGGTGTCCCGTCGCCCATGCATCATGGTGTAGCCACATGAGATCATGTTGGAGTTGGGGGTCTTTTGGGATGTACACCCTTCCCTGGTACAGAACCAGTTCACCTTGCCTCTCCCATTCATCTGATCTTAGCGTCCCTTCTCCCAGCTCTCGCATTGCCTTTACCACTCTCTCATCATGGTCTTTTGCTTTGCATATCCGATCCAGGATTCCTACCTCTTCTCCTTCCACTGAGATTGCCTCTGTTGCACGAGCCTCAAACCAGGCTGGTTGGAGGAGGGTTAACCCTTTGTTGTCGTCCTTCCCTTTCGGGTGGTCAGCACGATGAGAGAGTGCGTCCGGTTTTCCCATGAGCTTCCCAGGACGGTGGACAAGGGTGAAGTGGAAGCGAGAGAGGAAAAGGGACCATCTAGCCTGGTGTCGGTTCAGCCTCTGGGCCATCCGGAAGTACCCCAGGTTATGGTGGTCGGTATAGACCTCGACCTTCTCCTCAGCACCTTCCAGGAAGTGTCACCATTCTTCGAGAGCTCAGACGATCGCGAGCATCTCCTTGTTGTACAACTGGAGGATCAACTCAAGATGAGCAACAGATGGCTACAATCCATTAAGAGCAGACTTGGCCTCCGCTTGTGTCACATCCATACCAACTCTGCCTCACCTCTGCTCCACTCCGCCACCGTTCCGGTCCACCTCCGGTTCGTCCTCCCCCTGCACCTCCACTATACCCTCCGGTTCACCTCTGGTTCATCTCCACCTCCGATCTCTGGTACCTTCTCTGGTGCCTCTTATCCTCATCCTACACGTTTATTAATATTTCTATCTACCCAATATTACTACGGACCTCCTAGGACCTCCGCTCACTCTGCAAAGGTTTTCCCACTTCTAGTAGCTGTCACTAATTCCACCCTTCACCTACCCACTCCACAATGCTTGATAAGGCGATTCTCTCACAAGCTTGCTGACCCAGCAAGTGGGTAAGTCCCCCTTGGGTTTTCCCATTTGTCCTCTATTATGTATATAAGACCTGTACTGTAGTTGATGGCACCTCAGTGCAAAATCGACAATGACTACTCCCCCAGAGTTCGCATCCTCTCTTGTTCTGAAGTTAAAGACCAGACTCCTAAAGCATTACCGAATGTAGGCACAGTGCTCTTCTCCGAGTCGCTGAGGCCATGGTCCCTCTGCTCATTCTCTACCTCCAGCCTCCTTCTGGGGAAAGGTCCAGGGACACTGCCCTCCTCGCATGTTCTTGACAGCTTGCATGTGCATCATGGTGAATGTTAGAACTTGCGGATTCGGACGACTCCGGAGTGGAATTGGAGACTTAGCGTGGAAGGACCTCGGCCTCAGCGACTCAGGCAGAGCACTGTGCCATTGCTGGTTGTCCTGGGGGTCCCTAATTTCGGATCTAGCAGAGGGGAAGTCTCTTGGGGGAATTCAAGTCGATTTCAGACTGAGGTTACAAGTTACTAGGTACATTGTATATAAGGAGGGGTCCGGAATCAAAAGGAACAAGGGTAGGACGAAAGGAGACAAAGGGAGATGGAAAGGGGAACAACACCGAGGGTCAAGGGTTTGACTCAATGGTGTTTCTCAAAGGAGGAATGAAGGGCCAAGGCCCAAGGAGGAAGGAAGGAGGATGGGAGTCGGGAATGGCTAGCTGACTGAATAGAAGGAAGCAGCAGCCCAAATAGGAATGAGGGAGAATAGCGGAATTGGAATGGACAATGCAATAGTTGCAAGGTCCAGAGTAAGTCCGGAAAGTCCGAACTCGGAAGTTAAACTCCGGAATATTGGCAAACATGATTAAATGGAATGAGCTAACCAATACAATGGGTATAAGTGGAGGTGGGGTCAAAGTCCGAGGTCGGAGCTAAGACTGGAGGTTCCAGAGACGGAGACGCAAACGGGATTCTGGAGCGGAGGTCCGGAGTTGGGAGCATAGGTGTTGCATGCTCGTCTGGAAGGTGTCGAGGATGAGGTCGGACCCGGAATGTTCCAGAGTCGGACCAACGGTGGTGTTGGAGCCAGAGGTGGGATAACCTCTTGGAAGTCGGCAAGGAGGAGGTGGCAGAAGGGAAGTAGGACTCTGGAAGTCAGGTTTGGAGTTCCGGGAGCCCGGAGCGGGGGTCGGGATTGTATGGATATGACAGTGAAGCTGGCTCAGCAAGCCCTGAAACTGTCACTGCAGAGTGGGTATGCTTGCAGGAGCTTTTGTCTGAGTATTCCCTCAGTGATATTCAATGGCGATGAAACAGGACTTTATTACTCATGAGTGCCAAACTGGCCCTGCTCCCTGTAGTCACTCAATCACTAGTGATTTCCAGTATGCCACCTGACAAGGGCTTGCACGGTCAGAAAATTGTTTAAATTTTGCTTGCAGTATCTCCCCAGTAAGAACCATCCCTTTCTCCTCTGCAGCTATACTCCATAGCTCTAACATATCTGTAACCATCGGAAAAGTTGTGTGCTGGACGCACTTAAACTTTCCGGCAACATCTGACTTCTGGAATTCCTTGCAAAGTTGGCCTTCTTCACCCAAACAGAGACAAGAGGCTGCTTGATCTTGAGATTGGGGTAGATGGTGTTGAAGTGGCATTCCGATGCCCTTGTTGTTATGGTTATTGTTCCCTTTTATGGGAAGTTTCGTTGTCCTAACACTTTAGCCTTTGTTCATTTGCGCCACACAGAAATGTATATAAGTACGATGTGTAGAGCTGGATGATAACAATCTAATGACACTGTGATATCGTGCTCAGAGGATCGGGCTGCAATGCCGCGATTATAACAGATGGGGTCAAAATGGCTGGCTGGCTTAGTCTGATTCTTTCCATTCTTGTGATACCAATCAAGGATTTTGATGTGTTGCCAGAGAGTAGCTGTCTCTTTATGGGTGAAGACTGGTCCCTTCTTTGCCAATGGCTCCATATCTGGGATGGCTCTTTGGGAGCCTGGAAGCCCTTTGAATGCCAGCTTGTCCAGCCATCAAGTTGTTGAGTGCACTCACACTTCAAGTTCAGGTTGGATTCGCATCCTACCTCCGGTGCAACATCAGCATTGGCAACACACTCTGAATTGCCACTGCCTGCAACTTTCAGGCTGAACAGTTGCCTTCTGGCTGGCTGAAAGGGAGTCAAAGGAGCTCTGGAAGTCCTCTGCATGCTGAAGCTCAGCAATGAGCAGTGCCTCGTCTGTAAAGTTTGCACTGCCATCCAACCACGCTTCCTCATCTTCAGTGACTGATAACCCAGATGCAAGTTTGGCTTTGAGTTCATCTATGAGAGGCTGGGCATTATTCTTAAGTGCAGTAAGGCCCTTCTCAAGAGAGGACAGAGTAATCGGAGGGAGGCTCAGCATCATGCAGAGTTGTGTTGAAGGGACCAGTGTGCACGGTTTCATATTTATTCTTTCCTAATAACTCGTCATTCTCTCATGAGTTATTAACCTTTGAATACATATACATATTTTTGCAGGATCCTCGCTCATACTATGGGTTATGGGCTGAATTTCAATATAAAAATTTCCCTCCATGCTATGGGTTATAGGAGATGGGAGGTTTATGGGTTAGCAGACCATTTTGAATGGGAACTGTACTGGTTCCCCGACATCACTATGGGTAATGACAGGTTATGGGTTATCTCATGTATGGGTTATCATGGTTTTGACTGTACTTCGTATTTTTATTTGGGGGACCCGGCTCCGCCCCCTGCACCCCCTGAAGTCTGCAGGTTGAATATACAGAAGTCACACACACACACACACACTGACACCCCGTGAGCTTACACCAAGGGTGTCGTGCACATCAAGTATTTCTTCAATCCGCTTGCCCTCACCTCAATTCAACCTTACAGTAAACCCATCGTTCCGAACACACACATCTTCATAACCTTCAGTTCTGCCCACCCCTCATGACACAGATGGCGCAAAAGTGTATGTTGGAGGGACCTCAGCCGAGGGCATGTCACTTCTCAAATATATACAATATCTACCGGATTTGAATATTACAGGAACATCGCCATAGCAGTGCATCAGCTTGGTGCAACTGGCATGTCGACATGCTTGACTCTGCATCCCAAGCGCATGCATCTAGTGAAACCTGAAATCATTTCCTTTTCTTTAGTGCCAGGGGCCCATCGTCATCTGGCTTTCTGATCTCACTTTGCTCACCGCAATTCTGCCTTTTATGAATGATTGGTTTCAAACAGTCCTTGGCCAACTCTTAAGCTTGCCGCTTGGCATCTGAACCTGAGAACCATAGGTTTCTACGATTGCTGATGGGCTTTCTTGGGGGGGCGTTTTTGCTGGGCTGACTTCTGCCTGCCACGTTCCCGAGGTCGGGGAGTGGCTGTAGTTCATATGGTCTATTCCAGCCCCAATCAACACTTATCACTTGGGATACTGAATATGAATCCAAGTGGGAGCTGGATTAGGGGCTGGGTCTAAACCATCTATTTCCGCATGAAATGTTATCAAGCCTTTAATGTTCATCGAGTAGAATCCCCGGATGCAAGAAGTTAAGCAACATTGAAGACATCCGTGATTAGAATGATTAATACTAGCATCTTCTCTCAGACAAACACCTGTCAAGCTTACTGAAATGTGCCTAGGGGAACATGACTAAGTGATAGGATTTGGGTCAAAGCAAGCAAATACGCACTTCTGTCTGGATGACACTACCGTTCCAACCATCACTTAGCTCGATCGTACAATAGATGGCCCAGATGACCAGTAAAATCGAATTTAGACCGAGCCCGCACAACATGAGCACTATCCTGGGGGTCACGGAGACATACTCTCCGCCAGACATCACCTCGGGGTTCTTCTTGGACGGCGTGGGGCTCAGAGTCGATCCCCCTGACCGTCCCAAAAATAACAAGGAAGCAGGCTGGCATTGGAGATAAGAGTGGGAGGAATGTGTAGACTGAAATTGCCACAAGTTTACCGGCTGTGGTGGACAGAATGGTGAGTAACTGTGATTGGAAGGCATCAAATGTCACACAGCGTGATGTGTCCTCCAATATCTGAGTCCCTGCTGATGGAGTCCGCTGCAGCAGATGCGATTCCGCCACCCACCCTGTGATGCACGTTAACACTGTCAGGCCAAAAAAGAGGGTCGAGCGAATGCCTGCCTGGACCACAAGAGCCACTAGATCTACGAACAGGAAAATAAGCCAACATATCGATTAGAAAGGTAACTTGCGCCGCATCCAGAGCGGTACAATTGCACAAGCTCTTGCTGAAATAAAACTCTATTGAAGCCCCAAGCAATTGACAATTCCCCCCAACATGATTGATTTTGCACCACTCAAGAACGTAGCAGTGATATGATCTGATCTGTCGAGATTTGTGTGAGGAAGGCAGTGTTTGTAGAGCGGACCATCTGGTGTGCGTCGGGGGTCGACCATAAGCATTCACCAATAAACGTAGTATCTCGACATTGCCAACCCTATAATTTCACCGATACCATGGAGGACAAGAGTAGGAATCAAGTACCAGCATCACAGGATGCAAATCCCCAAAGTAGGGAGTATACGACAGTTCAATTCAACTGACATTGTTGAAGTCTCTTAGTGTATTTACGAGATGGAATAGATTTTGGTCTCATGCCCTGATCGAGCCAAAGGCATTGTCAATAAATATCAGATTGTTCCGAGCCATCGAGTGTCGTAAACATGAGGTTAACTGTAATGGAATGCACAACCAAATGTGTATATCCCGTAATCATCCAACAGGCTCTGGCCATGATGGCTGTGTTGCATGCATGGTGGAGCAATCTGGAGGACTCAGATAAGGATGTCCAGGATGACATCATGAAGACCTATGCAGCCGCAGAGCAGGCCTTGTGCTTTCACTACGATCTTAGTGCTGCAGCACATTCTACAGCACTTCCGTGGTGCCTGGAATCGCCTCCAGCTTGTTGGCATGTTGACACATGGTGTTCTGGTGTATAAGCCCCCGCACAGCATCCTAACCTGAGCCATTAGTTACCATGATTGCTTGCCATGGGCTTTCGGAATTTTTAAGCTGATGTTTACACTCGACCTACTTCCAGTCCTGGCCACACTTCGGAGATTCAGCAGTAGTGGCCTTTCACCAACGAACTGAGAGATGATGCATGCCTCAGAACATGTATTTACATGTGTTTGCATCGACAAAGATGCTCTGTTTATTGTTGTCGATGCGTCAGTGTCATATCTGTGCATACCCGACCCCGACCCGACTCCACCCTCTTCACCTCCGGAGTCATAACCTACCGCTGCCGCTCCGATACTCACCTCAGACCGAACACCGCCCCTCTCGCCACCCTCCTACTACTTCTCCGCTCCTCCTTCACAACACCTCCACTCTCCCGTCACCCTCCTACGCTTCCCCTGTCCACTCCAATACTCACCTTCGGACCTGACAACCCTCCTTTCCACCACTCCTTCCCCCTTACCTTTCCCCTCTCTCCTCCCTCTAGGTACTCCTCCACCACCCTTCCGCCAAGTTACGACCTTCCACTGCTGTCCCATACTTCGTACTCGGACACCGCTCGTACCTTTGCTCCGAGCCCCCATCATAGTCCCTACCTCGGACTTTGACTCCACCTCGGTCTTAGTCCATTGCATTGGTGACCTCATACTACGTAAACACCATTGCCAATATCCCTTGGACTTTCAACCCCACCTCCGTAACCTCCGTAAGCTCTGCAACCTCCAAGCTTCGCAGATCGCCTTCAGCACTTTCGCCACCTGTAATGTATTTCTCGCGTTTACCCCTCATCCCTATTTGGACTACTGCTTCTTCCCATTCTAGCCAGTTAGTCATCATCCCCACTTCTCCTCATCCTCCTGCCCCTCTGGGCCTCGCCCTCCCTACCTCCTTTCGGATGTATCATAGGTCCTGCCTTGTGACCTTCAGTACCGCTCCACTTCTTCTACCCTTTGTTCCCGTTCGGACATCTTCGTTCCGATTCAGTTACCCTTTGTTTTCCTTGTGCTTTTGCCCCCTCCATTATATATATCGGTGCTTGTACATACTCGTTTTGGTTCAGTCTGAAATCGACCTGAAATGCCCCCTAGAGACTTCCTGCTCACCTACTGTGAAATTAAGGACCAAATGGACAAACAGCAATGGCACAGCGCTCCACTTGAGTCGCTGAGGCCAAGGTCCCTCCATGCTAAGTCTCCGATTCCACTCCGGAGTCATCTGTTTCCGCCCGGTTCTAACAGTCAGCAGGCAACGTCAGAGTCTAACCATGCCTTTATCGCTGATCCTGGTGGCATCACAAACTTGCAGCAGCTCCAGTGTTTGCATGCTGGTGCCCTTCTGTTGATTTTAATGGGTGTCTTCATAGACTCTATCCCAATATTTGGGGATCTTCTGCTGTGATTACTTCATGGGCTCAGCTGTGGTGTGTAGCAACTAATTGCTCGCTCACCTGTCTCACACTTGGCCCGGTTTCGTTCTGAGAGTTACGGGTCGTTTCTGTCTGCTGGGAGGCTTTCGGATGGTGGTAGTTTCTGCACAATAAATAGAAGGCATGGGGAAGGGTAGGAAGCCAAGACTCGGATGTATCCTATTGAAATACTTCTGGATTCTATGCTTCCTGGTTGGAGATGCATATGATGAGAACTTTGGATGGACAATGCCAATGGCGACGCAGGAATATCCGGTGGCAGCGACTGCAAATAGTTTACTTTATTTGCACTCCTGTTTGATCAATCCCTTTCATACTATCTGCTGAAGGAGCGGAACTGAGAGTGCAGTTTTCCCTGTTCCTGGTTGTGGGGGAGTGTACCTGTTGAGTACAGTGCTGTATTAGTGTTTTGGTTGCTTTTTCAACAGTTGAGTATGCTATAGAAAAATCAAACAATCAAACACCCTGCGGAGCTGTTCAAATAATTCTGTCTGTCTGAGCCGACTCTGGTCTGTTCAGCTCTCAGTCAGAATTCACCTAATTCTACCACTTTTTAGTTTAGGAAGTGATTACTCCTATGTGTGGAGAGATACTACTATTTTCTCCCTTCACACTGTCACTTTTTGTTCAGTAGTAACAAACTGCTTCTAAGTGTCTTACTTAGATGCCTATAAATCTCCTATCTCACTTATCACACTGTTGTTGCCTTTTGTACAGTGGCAAACTTAACTGTCTTATCACTTTTTCGCACTGGAGTGAGAACCAGAAGTGCTTGAGAGAAATATTACTCTATTTTCTTACTTCTCTTACTGTTGTTGCCTTTTGAACAGAGGCAATCTTAACTGTTTCTATCACTTTTTCGCACTGGAGTGAGAACCAGAAATGCTTGAGAGAAATATTACTCTATTTTCTTACTTCTCTGAGGGGCTGCAAAGTGAGCGAAATCATGGTCCTTTTATACCTTTCAAGACCTTTCTTTCCCATGCTTTGCACTATTTACATGCAATAGAGTATTTACAAGCTTTTGTTCTAGAAAGCCCTAATGACTTGCCCAGATGACTTAGTCAGATATGACTCAACCAAAATGACTTGGTTAGATGTGATGGGGCTGTGTATGACTCAGTCTGAATTGGTTTCAGGCTGTGCATTTCTATTTTCAAGAAATGACTCAGCTGGAAATTGTTAGAATGGGGCGGATTTGGACGACTCCGGAGTGGAATCGGAGACTTAGCATGGAAGGACCTCGGCCTCAGCGACTCAGGCAGAGTGCTGTGCCATTGCTGGTTGTCCTAGGGGTCCCTAATTTCGGATCTAGCAGAGGGAAAGTCTCTTGGGGGGAATTCATGTCGATTTCAGACTGAGGTTACAAGTTACTAGGTACATTGTATATAAGGAGGGGTCTGGAATCAAAAGGAACAAGGGTAGGACAAAAGGAGACAAAGGGAGATGGAAAGAGGAACAACACCGAGGGTCAAGTGTTTGACTCAATGGTGTTTCCCAAAGGAGGAATGAAGGGCCAAGGCCCAAGGAGGAAGGAAGGAGGTTGGGAGTGGGGAATGGCTAGCTGACTGAATAGAAAGGACGCAGCAGCCCAAATAGGAATGAGGGAGAATAGCGGAATTGAAATGGACAATGCAATAGTTGCAAGGTCCAGAGTAAGTCCGGAAAGTCCGAACTCGGAGGCTAAACTCCAGAATATTGGCAAACGTAATTAAATGGAATGAGCTAACCAATACAATGGGTATAAGCGGAGGTGGGGTCAAAGTCCGAGGTTGGAGCTAAGACTGGAGGTTCCAGAGATGGAGACGCAAACAGGATTCCGGAGCAGAGGTCCGGAGTCGGGAGCATAGGTGTTGCGTACTTGTCTGGAAGGTGTCGAGGTTGGGGTCAGACCCGGAATGTTCTGGAGTCAGACCGAAGGTGGTGTTGGAACCGGAGGTGGGATAACCTCTTGGGAGTCGGCAAGGAGAAGGTGACAGAAGGGAAGTAGGGCTCCAGAAGTCAGGTTCGGAGTTCCGGGAGCCCGGAGCGGAGGTCAGGATTGTATGGATATGACAGAAATGACTCCATCAGAAATGACTCAGTCAGGGTGTCATATAGTTCTGTCTAGAAAATATTTCTAGGTAGTTGTTCATAGGTTCATATAATCCATATAGTGTAAGAATGTGAGGAAATGTTCTTCAAAGTATGTTTTAACATAAACAGTCCAAAAAAAAAATGTCATAAAAATGTAATGCATGTCGGATCCCCCTTGTTCCACAGCCATGGGAACATCTGGTGAATGTCTGTGCACAGGGAAACTTGTGCCAAGACTGAGGCTGAAGTGTGGTCACCTTACCAGTTAAAGTGTTTAACTTGTCACATGACCTTCAACATGGTGTCGAATCCAAGTGATACACACAACCTTGATTGACTCCTTCAATTACTCTTTCCTCCCATTCCAACTTGCTATCATACAAGGGTCAAGTGTCCATGCATGTGAGGTCATTCTTTAGTTGTTGATGATGTCCTCGGAACTTTCCCTACACCGCGTTGTCCAGGGTATCTCCAATTCCACCCCCAAACCCCGCCATGGCACGTATGCGGGAATATCGGCTCTGAAGATGATGAGAATGGGGATGAAGATCGTGGACTTGGGTAGTTTATTTCGGAGCTCGGAAAGCATCCACACTTGACCAACCCTGCACATCCTTGGTTACATTTGGAGATTCAAAAGTCACTATAGTCTGATGTCTCGACAACAGACCTCGGGATGGCACACGCTTAACTCCAGCTGCAGATTCCCAAATGGAATTCCTGGGGCGTCAATCAAGTCACAACAGGTTGATAGTTTGACAACATATGCCTCTCAGCCCGAAGCTGGCTCTACCAGCGAGGCATGTTAAACCGCCAAACATGTGACTCCCCTTGTACTGCAGGATGGATTCATCATATCATTGGGCAGTATAATAGTGAGATGTGGGTGATGGGACATGACCAAGCCTTATCGGTGACCAGCCCATTCAAAGACTTGGAATGCGTACCAGGTAGCTAGTGTTGTCCCCAAGTCCAATGAGAGCAGGTAAGCGCACAGATCCATCTATTGTATCCCAAGGTCCTTCTGTATGGCATAGAACACCCTAAAGCATCACAATTTCCCTGAGAATATATTCTGGAGCCTCTTGATCAAAGATAAGCTTCCGCGATCACCCACGCCCCAGGCCAGACTTTTCCTCGAATGTATTTTCTACCCCCACGGTTACAAATGACCACTTACCTTCAATTGGAGGATAATCTTGCGCTCCAATTTCTTCGTGAGCGCAGTATTCAAATGTTCCTGGATCTCAGCATGTCGACCCAAACACGGCACTTGCCTGGATGCTCTCTTCGTCTCTTCTTGGCATTTGCTCATACTACAGGTCCTGGTTACCTCCGTGATCAGATATCAGTATCGATGATGGTTGTGATAGAATACTGATGACATGGGTGACAATGCCATGGGATGTGTGGATCTGGAGGCAACCTTGCGAATGTGCCAGAAGGGAGGGCGACCGGTGTGCTTTTATCGCAAACCCAGGCCTGTTTCCTACAGTAAATTAAACATAATATTGAAGGGCTACTGCCTATTAAAACGATTTAATTATCCGGACCTTCCCAGATAAAATTTGAGCATCATCGAGCGAAGAGAGAAGTGGTAGAAGCTGCACTAAATGACCTGGCTGATGTCAACGACGATTGGGGCTGTTGCCTTGCCTTGGACAATAAATCGAGTACCATCCTTGCTTGCCGGAGGGAAATAAAGACGATCGTCCTTCAGCACCCGATTGCCATACCAGGCCCCATCACTATGGTCAGTCGGGCAGTACTCTTCTGGGAGGAAGAGTTCATCTCCTCCATTGAACCAAATTTCAGGGCCATTAATCATCGGAACTCTTCCTGCAGCGGAGGAAAGGTGTGTGATGATTCTAAACAAGGGTGCGGCCTTGAAACCGTAAAAGGGACACTTCATCCAGGATTCATCTGTGTTTTTCCCTAAATCTCTCTGGGAAGTTTGCACAAAACTTGGGTTTTTCTTGGGGATTGAAGGAGTGGCGAGTTTAGGATGTACGGGCTCAGGAATGACATGTGAACCAGTGGGTACGACGCCAGCACTGTGAACCCATTTCACAGAATCTGGGAAGCAATATTGAGTGATCAACTTGCATGAATTGGTTGACCAGATGAAAATGTTATGGGTGAGGTGAACAGCAGCATATCAGCCTCCAGGTGAGAATACAAGCCCATCCTGATGGGGAATCACCAGAATACCAGGGTAGAGGCAATGTGAGATGCTGAATGAATGGATCACCTGAAACATATAAGAGTGCAATTACACTGCGGCCTTTGTAGAACTTCCCTGGGGCCTGTAGGATCATGGACCCACTGTCAGAAACAACAGCTACAGCAGGGTAAAGATTGTTGGGCACAGGGAAGGTACTGAGCCTCAATGGCTCAGTGTCATGGCCGAAGACAATGATGTTTTGTCAGGGCACACCCGCCTGACCCGGGCCCACCCGGGCCCACCCGGCCACACCACACCCGCTCCCCGCTGTCTATCCCCCTCCCCCCTCCTTCCTCCTTCTCCTCCCCCCTCTTTTCCCTTTTCTTTCCCCTTTCTTTATTTCATTCTTCTCATGTTCCTCTTCCTGTTTATTTCTTTCTATCTACACGGACCACCTTCCCTTGTATCGATGTACTATTGACCCGTCCGGCCCACACACCCCGGACGGCCTCCCGCTGTGCCCAGCACACGCGCATGTAGCGGACGCTCTCGGGATCCCCCATGGGGACACCCGGATGCCTGCGGCTGCCTCCGAGGATGACGTGGCACCTGTCATGTGACTCAAGCCGCATGTACATAAATGTACCTGAAGTGGGAACCGAAGAAGTAACCTTCTTCTCACATTCTCCACCTCAGGTAAGTAGTATAGTTTTCCTCTTTAATAATAATAACACATTCTCCACCTCAGTCTGAGTGGCCAGGGACCACTGCCCCGGATCGGGCCTGCCAGTACGCACGCCCGCTCCACACCCCGTGACGGCCTCAGTGCCGGGCATTACCCCCGGGCCCTCTCGACCCCGGACGCGTCCCTGACAGCAGAAGAAGGTTTTAACCTTATTTCCCCCGCCTCACCCATCTCCCCAGCCATGGTGTCAGAAGAACAGTATGACGACCTGCTGGCCCGCTTCCAGGAGCTCCAAGCCATTGTGGAGAGCCAAACCCGCAACCACCCCCCACCCGCACCTGCACCCGCACCCGCCCCTGCACCCGCGCCCGTACCCACACTCGCGCCCAGACCCAAACCACCGAAGGTCGCTGCCCCCACTCCCTTCTCAGGAGCCAGTGAAGACCTCGATTGCTTCAAAGCCGAGTGCGGGATCTACTTCCATGTCCGCGCAGCCAAGTTCCCTACCGAACTATCCCAGATCCTCTTCGTCCTCTCCTACATGAAGGGAGGACCCGCAGGGGTGTGGGCGACACAACGGACGATCACCCTGTTGACAGCCACCTCCCCCACCATAACCATGGACGAGTTCAACACGGAACTCGATGCCATGTTTCAAGACCCGAACCGGGAGGCCACAGCTCGGCAGAAGTTGGCAGTCATCCGCCAAGGGACTGACTCCGTGGATAAGGTCATCCAGGAGTTCGAGATATTGGGACCCGCCTCGAGGCTAGGCGATGTCGGGCTGGTCGACCGGTTTGAGCAAGCGATTAACTCGCGGCTCAGGGAGAGTATATACCGCCTCCGCCCCATGCCCACCACTTGGACTGAGTGGAAGCGCGAAGCCACGCTTCTGGACAACCAGTGGCAACGTTTCCAAGCCACCCAACCACGCGCACCCCCACCTAGACCCCCATTCCCGCCAGCCCGACCTCCGCTGACCGTGACCCCATCCCAGACCCGACCCGCGCAGAACCCCCCACGACCTGCTCCTGCACCTCCGCCCCCCACCCCAGCAGCCCGTCCTACACCAGGGACGGGCCCCCAGCCGATGGATCTCGACAGGTCGAGGACTGACCAGAGACGGTGCTACAACTGTAACACCCCGGGTCATCTCGCGCGAGAATGCCCACACCCCAGGGTCAGCCGAGTACGACGTCTCCACCCGGAAGACCTGAGGACGTTGATGGAAGGGCTGAAGAGGCAGTTGACCGAAGGGACAGAGACGGTGGAGGGGGAACCAGAGGAAGAACCTCAGAGGGATTTTCAGGCAGGCGACCGGTAAGGGATGCGTCCCGGCTGCCTGTAGAAGATAGCTCGTGTAAATACCGCAGCGCGCGTAAGCCAACGCCAATGCCAAAGTTTCACCGAGTCATCGCGAAGAAAAAGAGGAGAAACGCATCCTCCACCCGTGAGAACGAGAAGACCCCAAGGGCAGCAATGCCCGAGGTAGCAGTCTCCCCCCCCGCCATTTACATCCTTTCCAAGCAGTCCCCCAGATCTCTTAACCTCACAGTGAAACTGACCGCCCTAACCTCCCTCGCGTCGGTATCTGTGTCAGCCCTCCTGGACTCAGGAGCCACCGGGAACTTCGTAAGCCCCGAGTTCGTCCGAAAGCACAACCTAGAGACAACCCCCCTTCCCCAACCCATTCCCGTCCGTAATGTCGATGGAACCCCGAACGAAAATGGAGCTATAACAGAAGAGCTAGAAGCCCTCCTGACCTTCGGGCGACACACAGAGCGGGCACGCTTCGCGGTTGCAAATCTCGGGCGCCAGTCCCTCATCATAGGACACTCGTGGTTGCTGCACCACAACCCAGAAGTGGACTGGGTACGACAGAGAGTCGTCATGTCCCGCTGCCCGTCCTCCTGCAGACAACCGCGAATACAAAATGATCAGGACCCGGTACTGGAGCCTGGGGATGGGATCTACACTGCCATCATTCCCCCAAGCTGGGGCCATGACCTGAGAGCCACCACGACCCCCTCGCAGCGGATGGCCCAAGAGGCCCGCAACCCGGAGGCTGAGCCCGCGTCGTTTGAGACGCTAGTACCAGAGCACTACCAGGACTTCCGGGATGTGTTCTCCAAAGAAGCCTTTGACCAATTGCCCCCCGGAAGCCCTGGGACCACGCTATAGACCTGGTACCGGACGCCAAACTGCCCAGGGGGAAGACCTTCCCACTCTCGCGTCCGGAACAGAAAGAACTAGACGAGTTCCTACGCGAGAACCTACAGAACGGGCGCATACGGCCGTCCAAATCCCCCATGGGAGCACCAGTCTTCTTCGTCAAGAAGAAGGACGGGTCCCTACGCCTGGTCCAGGACTACAGGAAGCTGAATGAGATTACGGTGAAGAACTCGTACCCGCTCCCCCTCATCTCAGACGTCCTCGCCCGCCTCCGCAACGCCAAATACTTCTCAGCCTTGGACCTACACTGGGGGTTTAACAACGTCCGGATCAAGGACGGAGACGAGTGGAAGGCGGCATTCGCGACCAACCGGGGGCTGTTCGAGCCCATGGTGATGTTTTTCGGCCTGTGTAACTCCCCGGCAACCTTCCAGACCATGATGAACGACATCCTGAGGGATTTCATCGACCGGGAGGTTGTCATCTGTTACATGGACGACATCCTGATCTTCACGGCCACCCTGGAGGAACACCGAAGGGTCGTCCGAGAAGTCCTAGAGACGCTGAGGAGAAGGAGGCTCTTCCTCAAGCCAGAGAAGTGTAAGTTTGAGCGAACCCGGATCGAGTACCTGGGCCTCGTTATCTCGGAGGGTAACGTCGCGATGGACCCGGTGAAGATCCAGGGTGTCCTCGACTGGCCCCCCCAACCAAGGTGAAAGAAGTACAATCCTTCCTAGGATTCGTAAACTTCTATCGCCGGTTCATCAGAGACTTCTCTGAGAAGGCCCGCCCCCTTCACAGGCTGACCCGGAAGACCCAAACCTGGAACTGGGGCCCGGATGAAGACGATGCCTTCCATGCCCTCAAGGAAGCCGTCACCACAGCCCCTGTCCTCTCTTTCCCTACCGACCACGGCCGCTTCAGGCTCGAGTGCGACGCATCCAACTTTGCAACCGGTGTGGTCCTCTCCCAGCTCCAACCGGATGGAGAGTTCCACCCGGTAGCGTTCATGTCCAAAAGTTTCACGGATGTAGAGCGCAACTACGAAGTGTACGATAAAGAGATGCTTGCAATCGTCCGAGCCCTCGAGGAATGGCGACACTTCGTGGAGGGTGCTGAGGAGAAAGTCGAGATCTACACCGACCACCGTAACCTGGGCTACTTCCGGACGGCCCAGAGGTTAAATCGACGCCAGGCCAGATGGTCCCTTTTCCTCTCCCGCTTCCATTTCACCCTCGTCCACCGCCCAGGGAAGCTCATGGGGAAACCAGACGCACTCTCCCGCCGCGCTGACCACCCGAAGGGAAGGGACGACAATGAGGGGCTGACCCTCCTCCAACCGGCCTGGTTCGAGGCCCGTGCGACGGAAGCAGTCTCAATGGAGGGTGAGGAGGCGGACATCCTAGAGAGGGTACGAGGAGCGAGAGGTCATGACGAACAGGTGGTAAAAGCCATGAGGGAACTGGGAGAAGGAACGTTGAGGTCGGACGAGTGGGAGAGACAGGGAGAGTTGGTCCTCTACCGGGGCAGGGTGTACGTTCCAAAAGACCCACAACTCCGCCACGATCTGGTACGGCTACACCACGACGCGCGGGCGACGGGACATCCAGGGCGATGGAAAACCCTAGAGCTCGTCTCCCGCGACTACTGGTGGCCTCGGATGGCAGAATATGTCGGGCGATACGTACGTGGATGCGACACCTGTAACCGCGTCAAACCCTTCCCCGCACGGAAGGTTGGGAAGCTCACCCCAAATAAAGTTCCCACCCACCGTTGGCAGGTGATCTCGGTAGACATGGTGGGAGAGCTCCCAGAGTCGAAAGGTTATAACGCCATCCTAGTTGTAGTGGACCGTCTGTCCAAACGCATCCACGCGATCCCCACCGTGACATCCGTGGACTCGGCTGGTATCGCCCGGCTCTTCCTAGAGCACGTCTGGAAGCACCACGGGCTCCCGGAAGAGATTCTTAGCGACAGAGGGAGCGCCTTCGTCTCGCGCTTCTCAAAAGAACTTGCAGATCTCCTGGGGGTCAAGCTAACCCCCTCAACGCCCTACCACCCCCAGACTGACGGACAGACAGAGCGGGTTAACCAGGAAATCGAGGCCTACCTTCGGGTGTTCGTCAACCACCGCCAGGACGACTGGGCGGACTGGCTCCCACTGGC